AAAACAGTAATAGAAATGGCACTTATTGAGACAGTTTAACTATGCAGCTAACTACCTCTATCCAGAGGAAGTTCACTGTGACCCATTGTGCCCCGTGAGTGAGTTGGGAGGGACCATGGTAACTGATTTCCTAAGCCGGTCGTGTGGCTTCAGAGCATTAATACCAGCAAAGCCCTTGGGCTGATTTGGGGTGTGTAGTAAGGATAAGCATCAGCTTTTATTCTCACCAGGAGGCGCTGGCTGACCCTTCACACACGCGGCCACGCAGTCCTCAGAACACGGTTCTGAGGTAGGGCATATCTCAGTTCTACAGAGGGAAACAGAGGCCACACAGGTAGGAAACAACAGGGTGGGGACGGTTTTCGGGGCCATTCATCTCTTAAACACTACGTTACACCATTGTCCAAGATGAGGAGATAATCCAACTTTGAAAATGGGTCAGAGGTGTTTCAGGGTAGAAATGAGTGTTTGCAGACCTTTTAAGTGTTGTTTTTCCAGAGAGTGTCAGGGTACCAATCTAGGGGGACAGAACAGGAAACGTGACTACATCAGCTGCCTGATAAAACAGCCGGGATGGAGCCCACGTCACTGCGGGACCCAGCGATGTCACTGCCAACATCAGCCGCTTGAAAGTTCATTTGTCTTTATTGGGTTTGTTGTTATTGTTTTTGTTGTTGTTTTTCTGTTTTGCTTCACTGAGAGTTGAGCTCTCATTAACATCATAGCAAAAACTCACTTTCTACTGATTTCTTCTAGTTTACCATATGAATTTTGGGCATACAGGATTATTTTCAAAACACAGTAGTGAAGCTATATTTCTTATAGCATTCAGGACTTCTAAAATGAGTTCAATTCCGTAAACACTTATGGAGTCCCTCTCATGAGAAAATGCTATTCCAGGGACCACAGTGAGCAAGACAGGGCCCCTGATCTCAAGGAACTTACTGCCACTGGAGCTGTACTGATCTGTGTAGTAACCAGAGCCACAGGCGGCTTTTTAAAAAAAGTTTTTTTAATTTATTACCCTTGGCTGGTGTGGCTCAGTGGATTGTCTACTGGCCTGCCAACTGAAAAGACACCGGTTTGAGTCCAGGTCAGGGCACATGCCTGGGTTGTGGGCCAGATCCCCCGTTGGGGCACGTGTGAGAGGCAACTGATTGATGTTTCTCTCACACATCGATGTTTCTCTCCCTCCTTTTCTCCTTCCCTTTCCTCTATCTAACAATAAATAAATAAAGTCTTTTAAAAACTTTTTTTATTTATTGATTTTAGACAGAAGGAAGGGAGGGAAGGACACAGAGAGAAAAACATTGATTTGTTGTTCCACTTATTTATTCATTCCTTGGATGCTTTTTGTACGTGTGCCCTGACCAAGGATTGAACCTACAACCATGGTGCGTCAGGATGACACTCCAACCAACAGAGTACCCAGCTGGGACTTTTAAAATCTAAATTAATTAAAGTGAAAAATTCAGTGCCTCAGATGCACTAGTCACATTTCAAGTGCTCAATGGCCAGATGTGGTTACTGGCTCCCATATGGGGTAGGGCATCAATATAGAGCATTTCTACATTCCAGAAAGTTCTACTGGTCAGTGCTGTCTAGGTTGAGAGATCTTCCAGCTCAGAAACTATGCTGCCCGGACTTTGTGGTTGGAGTGTGGCTTACCTTAGAGCAATGTGCGGGGAACAGCACCACCCTCAGGTTCCACATGAAGACGTGGGTTCAGATTCAACTTCTGACCTACATTGACCTTGGCAAAGCCCTTCAGCCCTCACCTCCAATGCCAGTTCTCTCACAGGTACATCAAGGACATGAGACCACAAGATTTCTACAACTCCTTCTGTTCAAATATCCTGGGAGGCTGTGAGTAAATTAGTAGAACATCATGTGGTGTGTGTGCACGCCACAGCTAAAAGAAACTACAAAGAAAAAGTCCATTTCCCAAAATAATTTTGTTTTCATTTTAGAAATTTTTTTGCAGATTCATTCTAATTTCTATTCTAAAATTTTATGTATGCAGTCCTAAACTTGCCAAACTGATTTTTAAAATGAGACTATTTTATTATTCATCTTTGTAGAATGTCAAGGTCTCCCTAAAAGAAACTTAAATTTATTTTTTAAAATACACTCTGACAGTCATACACTTCTATGGCTCCTCGCTCAAGCAGCAGACTGCCAACTCTCTGTTACTGAGGGAGCTTGGCCTTGGGCTGTGATGCCAGTCTACATATCAGATCTCCCCTCATCCCACAAAAACCATCAAGTAGCAAGCCCCACATTATTTCTACCTAGAAAAAGTGAACATTTACTGAGGACCTTCTATGTCATGAGGTCCTTAAGTCCTTCATCTCGCTTAAGGACTGGGCAATGCTAGGCTGAGCAATGCTTGTTTACAAAGAATAGCTTGCTAAAGAAAAATGTCCATTTCCCTTAACTCTATGATGTGTGCCTACACTTACTGGTATTTCTTAGAGAAACACCAATTCTATTTCATTTTATAAAAAACTATTTTCTTATTGTGGTGTCCCTTAAGCCTTAGACCTCTCGATTTTCTCATGTACCTTACTCCTCTTTCCTGTCTCAGCCGGAAAACTAATAGCATCCTTTGTTTTCTTTTTATCTAGAAGACTGGGAACATGACAGGGGACCTACTCCCAGGATGTGGAGACTGGGGCGGGACATTCTGTTCAGAAGGCCCAAGGAGTGTTGATTGGCTGCACCTTGTTGTTCAAATCCAGCTCCTCAGTGAAGAGTTCTGGTTCACCCTCTGATACCCTGGGTGGGATTCAGTGGTGAGGAGTTTTTGGTCAATGAGTTCAGTTTGCCTGCTTCTTACCAGTGCGGCAGGAGTTTGGGTCTCTGGTCGGGTCCTTAGGATCAGTCCACTAGTCTCACTTCTTCATTTTTCCTGGTAGTTGTTGTGGAAACCACTGAATTGGAATTTGATTCCTACTCTACTGCTTTGGAGAAGTTACTCAGCCTCTTTGAGCCTAAGTTTCCTGGGGTGCAAAGTGAGGATAAATGATAACTGCTCTCCTACTTTCCCAGCTGGTCACAAGCATGTGGAGGGTCTGTGGACCCAGTAGTACCTGTGGCTCCTGATGTGGGGGAAGAAGTCTAGTCCTGGGGTCGGAGAGGGGGAGGGAATCCAGGGCCTGCCGTGTTCTAGCTGTCTGACCTCTGGCAAGTCTCCTGTGTTCAGTTTCTCTTAGTAAAATGAGGATTCCAGATAATTCAGGCTCTGTGAGAATCAATTTGTTCCTTAAGCCTGCCTTACGTCAACAGCCTCCTAACCACTCTTCCTGCTTCCTCCTTTCCCCACCAGTGATCTTTTGGAAACAGGATCTGATCCCATATGTCTTGTTCCTGCTTAAAGCCCTGCAGTGGCTCCTTGGGGCCTTTAAGGTTTGTCTGGAACATTCCTGGTTTTAGCTTAGAAAACCTCATGTCCCAGGAAACCCCTCTATATGTTGGTCCCACTATACAGCTAGCTGAGCAACCGATCTGGTTCCCACCCACCTCCTTAGTGCTCCTCTTTCACCATACGTCTCTCTCTCTTTGACTACATAATTCCAGGCACACTGGAATGACTGGAGAGTGTTTGACAAAATGCTGATGCCCAGGTCTTCCTCTTGAGAACCTGATTTCTTTTTTTAGAGTGGGGCCTGAATGTGGGTATCTTTTTAAACCTCGTCAGTGGCTCTAAGGCTCAGCCACAGATGAGAGCCACTGCTCTATTCCTGTGGGTCTCCAGACACCTCCTGTGTGGTTCCTGTGCTGGGCGTGTTGCCTGTCCCTGCACTCCTCCTGCAGGCCAGTTCCTGCTCATCTTCTTCCTACTCAGGAGTCTCTTTCTCCAGGCAGCCCTCCCAGAGCTCTCCAGGGAGGCTTAGCTACCTCCCTCTGCTGGGCTCCCAGACTCCCCTGGGCTTGCTTTCATCAGAACCTGATCATTCTGCATTACAATTGTTAGTTTACTCCAACCCTCTCCCTTATTAGGGCTTGGGTTTCCTTCAGGAAGAGATTTTATCTTTCCTTCTTGTATCCCTGGAGCCAAGCAGGCTCTGGCACACTGCAGGCTCTCAGTAAGTATTCGGCGAACACATTGATCAAGACAAGGCCATCTGACCTCTTCTGAGTTACATTATAAGAAAGAAACATCAACACAATAACCCAAGTGCATTATAGAAATAAGGGGTTAAGGGAAAAACAGATCCAAATAAATACTTTAACAAATTTATGAATGACTGCTAATATTCAAATTAAAAGAAAGTCTTAGTTTTGCTCTTTTGGGAGTAATGATTTTTTTCTGTTCCAGGGAGAGAAAAAAAGATATGTTAGGAAATTCCTCCATTACCAGCATTACCTGTCATGAAGTGGTGATTGGAAATGATTCTCTGATGAACTCATTTTGGCCCTCTGTTATTTTTTTTTCTTCCTCCTTTTCCTCAGCTGGCCATCCTTGTGTGTTTGCAGAGAGGCAGGAAGGTTCACTGTTTCTGTCTTTAAAACTCTTTTATCGGCAGGCTTTCTGATCTTCAAAGCAGCCTGTATTCAGTGTGACCCCACTCCCTTGACTCCCCATGCTGGGGAGTGAGAGCTGTGAGTATTGTTGTCATTTTGACAGCTTGCATATTTGGACAGCCTTGGACAGTGGAGAGTGCAGACCTCACTATATCTGCAGGATTTAAAGCAAGTCAGCATTTCCTAGCCCTCTTCCACCCCTAAATCTAGACACATTGAAAAATTGACACCAGACTCCAGAATTAAGCACTGAGTTCTAAGCACTCAGTTCCAGAACTGAGATCTAAATTATGAACCAGTAAACAGTAAGCAAACAGTAAGCAAACAGTAAGCAAACAGTAAGTTTATAGGTCCCCTTGCATTTGACCCACCCCCTGGAGGGCACCAGCCCTTATCCTCTCTGCCCTTTATTTCAACTGAGTCTGTGCAGTTGGTGTTCCTCCAACTCTCTCAATCTTTGTGATTATCTGTAGTGCTTAATCCTGGACAAGTTTGAAAGCTACGATGATGAAAATCAGCTCACAAAACGAGCCCTGTCTCTGCTGGAGGAAAACAGGTTCTGGGCTGGCGTGGTGTTCCCGGACATGTATCCCTGGACCAGCTCCCCACCACCTCATGTGAAGTACAAGATCCGGATGGACATAGATGTAGTGGAGAAAACCAATAAGATCAAAGACAGGTGATGTTTCAGGCAATCTCAGAAAGTCCTGGGCATCCCAAGGGATGTATGAGGCTAGGAGAGGGGCAGGAGTCACTTGGAAAGACAGAGAAACACTTTGGTATCAAAGAACTAAACTAACCAGTTGGTGGGACCGGGAGAGCTCAGCTACCTTGTCTTCATACCCCCAACTTGGTGCTTCTCCTTGGCTGGCCTTTGTGAAACTTGGAGAGAAAAACCTCTAGGAACTGAATTATCTTCATATAAAGATCCTACAAATGGGGTTTCTTCAAAGTCACTGAGAAACTACATTTGGCACAGAGTAAGGAATTGAGACTGGACACAGTCTCCAAATCAGTGAAGTTAAGTGAGAGAAAATAAGAAATTTCGAAAAACTCAAAGTAGAGTCCTTGATTGAAAGCATTCACAAGTCACGTTGTGGCTAATAGTCATAACTGAGATCTAAATTATGAACCAGAAAATAGAATTGGATGACTTGGGAAAGATTAGGGGAAATAGTCCAGGAGAGAGTTCTGAGTCACTTTGCGCTTGTGAAGTGTGCAGGAGCTGCCCGTTTCACTCCCATCCTTCATCCCTCCGTGCCTCCGGTTTTTCCTTAGGTACTGGGATTCTGGCCCCCGAGCCGATCCTGTGGAAGATTTCCGATACATCTGGGGAGGGTTTGCCTACCTGCAGGACATGATTGAACAGGGCATCACGAGGAGTCAGGCCCAGGCTGAGGTTCCGGTAGGAATCTACCTGCAGCAGATGCCTTACCCGTGCTTCGTGGATGACTCGTGAGTGGGAGCCTCCCAGTCCCACTCCTGGACAAGCTAATCGGGTTGTTAGGTGGGGCGGAGTGCTCCCCAGGCTTCAGTCTCTTTGGAGAGAAACCCCGGGGACTGGGTCCAGCTCAGAGAGAATGGAGCTCTGACTGGGAGTTTGCCTCTCCAGGCTCCAGGCAGGGCCAGATAGGCAAGTGAAGTGGCAGGGAGAAAGGAGCTGGTGTTGTGGGTGGAAAAGGGAAGGTAAAAATTAAATCAAGAGAAGTGAGGTTGAGGGAGGGGAGAAAGGCATTTAAAATTTCCACTATATAGTATGTTTGGTATGTGGAAGGGTTCTGGTCAGAGTGTTTGCCCAATGACTGCCAAATCAACGAACGAAGACTCTGCATTGCAAACAGGTCTGGTTCCTAGGAGCCTCGGAATAATGCGGCTCTTTCCCTAATTAGCATTCCCATGATGCATGCTCAGTGAAAGGTAGAGGAATGTGTTGGATGAGCTCAGGTCCTCCCTGCCTGCCCACCCCCATCCCCAGGCGTGTACATTTGTTGGCCAGTAAAAGTTAAGCAAATGGCCTAGTGTTTTCTGACCATGCACTTGGGGGATGGTAAAGAGAGGGCCAGAGAGACAGAGAGCTGGGAGGGCTCCTTTCCCATGGTGAATGGGGGCAGAAATACTCCCAGGACAGAGGCAGAGACCTACAACTGGCTTAGGGATTCAACTCCTAGAAAAAACTGGGAAGGTCACCATAGTATGCAAGCGTGTCCGTGGGGTTCAGGGAGGAGAGAGACATGCATAGCCTGAAGAAAAGAAGAGTCAAATTGCCAGCTGGCAAGGCAGTAAAATAAAGCCAGTATGGGCACAGGGAACCCTCTTTCAACATCCCAGTCCAATCCATTCTTCTTCCTCGGCTCTACAGAAGACTAAAGAGATAACAGTGGCTGTTCTGTAGTCAGCTTGGGTTTGGACAATAGTCAGAGATGGAAAGTGGAGCCAGAGGCAAAAGTACAGTTCCAATTTTAGGATCAGAATGGCAGTGTCTGTCAGGGAAGGGGGTAGAGTGAGGAAATAATAAGAACTCTGGGCATTCAGTGTGTGAGAGCCCTCTGTTGGCAGGTCCTAGAAGTGCAAGCTTTATGAGTTAATCATTCTCACCCTAGGGCCATCTTGAGTGAAGCCCTCCCATGCTGTAATTGGGCCCTTCCTGTGACACCCAGCAATTTTCAGTAGATAATTCCAAGGGATTTACTAGCATATCAAGCACATAAAAAATGTGTGTGAAGTTCACAATAAAGTAATTCTAGATGATCAAATCTACCCTGCTTGCTGGAATGGGTATCCATAAATTTATTCCACAGGTTCATGGCTGGTGGAGTCAGTGGCTATGAGGTCACTGATTGATTTATTAATGAATGGCCTTCTGAAAGTGCACACTGCCTAGTTATTTTGTGCTCTTCCTGCATAACTGGGGTTTGATACTCCAGGGTAGATAGTGCCACCCGCCTTGGGGAGCCCAAGTATGGATCTCATCACCACCAGTACTCTTTCTTTGTGGTCCATGTCCTTGGGCTTCAGTGCCAGCCAACACATATCTGTCTACTCTGGTCACATGCCACATCATCTAGTTTGTTGTCCTTTCCTGCGAGATCTTCCAAGTAGGTATGCACTGTATGACACACACTGTGTGACACACACAGTGTGAGTTTATTTACCATTTTACTTACAGAGCATTCATCTGGGCTAACCAAAAAGCTACCATCTTGCTCTAAAGAAAAAGTAATCCTTCAGGAAAAGTGCAGTGTATTAAAAGATTCAAGCCCATTGGATGCCCAATGGAGACTTTCCCACCCTTCCCTTCACCAGGGCCTTGTTCTCAACACATTCACTCAACACAAACATTTACTCCACCTCTACCAGGTACAGGGAATTCTACTATTCTGCTTCTCTCCTCCCGTTTCAGTTTCATGATCATCCTGAACCGCTGTTTCCCTATCTTTATGGTGCTGGCCTGGGTCTATTCTGTTTCCATGACTGTAAAGAGCATCGTCTTGGAGAAGGAGTTGAGACTGAAGGAAACCTTGAAAAATCAGGGTGTCTCCAACACAGTGATCTGGTGTACCTGGTTCCTGGACAGCTTCTCCATCATGTCAATGAGCATCTTCCTCCTGACAATATTCATCACGGTAAGCCAGATGGAGAAGGCCCAGAAAATCTTGAATAGTTTGTTCCTTCTACCTTTCCTCCTGTTAATGAACTTGTGTCTAGATTAGCCATCTGACCACCAAGGATAGCATGACATGTAACTGCCCAGCCATTTCAGCCAAGTCTCCCCCAAGAAGCCGCTGTATCATAGCATCTTCCCTGCTCCCACTTCCTGCCCAGGGAGCCACAATCTACATAGATTACTAGCACCTTTTCATGGACTGTCTGGAGAACCTGCTATTCACAGGGTGAAGCACAGGGTGATTCTACATGCAAAATGTTCTCTCTTTCAAAACACAGAAGAAATAAATACAAGGAGTGCTTTTATTGGGATTCCTGTCCCGGCCACCAGCTGGAGTGGGAATGTGGAGAGCCTTTCCAGTGTATTAGGTAAAGAAACCTGGACTGTTAATTATGTTCATGGTCTCACCACCCATGCTGCCTACAGAATCTTCAAGACCTGTTTCAAAAGATGGAATTTGGAGTCTATCCTTTCTCAGTGATAGGAGTTTTTATAGCCCCAGACAGCACGCAGAGGTCCATCCTCTGCAAACTTGCAGCTCCCTCACAAGCTAGACTTGGAAATAAAACACTAATTTATTATTTCACAATTATTTTGTATTGTTTCATACTGCTATCCTTCATTTTTAGTTCCTCCAGAGTAGATGATTTCTTTGTACTTGTTAAATGGTAAGGGCATAAATTTAGGTAGTTTTTGATATTTATTTGATGAGATTTGATATAGGTTTCAGACCTCACGCTTTGCAAACTCCTGATATAGTGTAATCAAGCTTGTTCTGTCTCTTTACCATCATCATATTCAGTGACCCTTTGTACCAGGCAATGTGTGTGCTGACCCACACACTCTGGTTGGGTGGTGCCATCCAGCACATACCCACTTAAACTAAACCCTGCCCCTTCTCTTTGCAGTAAAATGTACTAGGTCTGAGGGGGTTTGATTTCAGTGTTGCACTGAGATCCAGTGAGCTGTGGCCTTAGCTAGACCCTGTGCTAGAGAGCTATCAAAACCAGTGCTGATGTAGAGGTCATTCTTTTTTTTTTTTTAAAGATTTTATTTATTTAATTTTAGACAGAGGGGAAGGAAAGGAGAAAGAGGGAGAAAAACAGCAACATGTAGTTGCCTCTTGCATACCAACTGGGGACCCGGCCTGCAACCCAGGCAAGTGCCCTGACTGGGAATCAAACCAGCAATGCTTTGATTCACAGGCCTGCACTCAATCCACAGAGCCACACTAGCCATGGCCTGATGTAGAAGTCATTCTGTTCAATATGACCCAACCCAGATGTGGCTTTAAAGATGCAAAGGATCCCAGAGCTCCACAGAGATAAGGGAGAAGCCGAGCACCTTATTTGTCTCTCTGGGTTTCCTTGTTCCTTCTCATCCTTCAGTTGGCTCCTTTCCCCACTACCAAGATATCTGTGTCCTCAGAACTAAAGGATTCGAAATGCACAACATCTGATTTACACAAAATGCATAAACTATATGACATCATGCAATGGCTATACACTTGTTGCTGGTACTTGACCTTGAGATCTGCCTTCCTAAGAATGAGCACAGGGACTTCAAAGTGTTTATGATGTGAGGTAGAAAATGTTCACCTAAAGTTTCCTGTACAAAAAGGTTTCACCTTGTGGGAACCAGAATATTGTTCCAGTAATGACGGAAACAGAGCTTTCCACACCAGAATAGGATTTTCCTTTTAATTACGCTCCCATCTTTCCCTTGTTCTTCCTTCCCAACTCAGCTATGCAGGAAAGAAGCTGGAAGCTGGTACAATGGGAGGCTTCCCTTGTTATTCAAGCTATTGAGAACAAAAAAGAAAAGTGGTCCTTAAAGGAAGCCAAGACCAATGAAATTGTTGGCTCAGCCAAGTGAATTTCATCTCTGCCTTAAATCAGTGAGAAATTCTATGGCCCTAGAAGTTGGTAGGACTTTGCTTTGAGCTGAGATAAGAAATGGATTTCATCCCTCTGAGGACAGCAACAACTGTCTTAAAATTCTTCCAGTCAAAAGCCACAGGTTGAGTGGTAGGCTTGCTTTTATTGCACTGTGCGTGATTAGGGAAATTAAGGAAAAGGAGTGAGCTTTCCAGCATGATGTGGGGTCCTCTCTGACACAAAATCAGGAGCTCTGAGTCCTAATCTTCACTTTTATTTAGATTTCCTCAAAGTTAGATTATAGTCAAGCATGGCTCTCTTCCTCCTCTTTTTGCCATTCATTTTATTCTACTTGTAAAAATCTGGTCTATCAAAGCCCAGCCGGCATGAGAGCATGAGTAGAGGAGAAATGGTAGCAACAGCAGATAAATAGCACGTTTGTTCTGCTCAACTGTCAAGTGCTCATTACAGATCTTGCTGATTGGTCTCTCCTTTCCCCTGGGAGGAACCCAGTGCTGCAGGGCACCACTGCCAGCTCATCAGAACCAAGTCAGGAGATGGGCCTTCTTTGTATCTTTAGGTTCTCAAGAACAGGGTGACCTATATATATTTGGGGTTAATGTGCAAAGGATAAAAATCCTCACAGGATGCCACAGCACAGGAGAACCAATAAGTCCTAATCAATTTGAACATTTCAATTTATTCTGGGGCAATTTGTCAGCAGCTCATTTATTTAAAATAGCTAGTTTGGACATGTTTTCTATAAAAACAAAGTGATTGAATCATTAGTTAATGTGAAAGATACTGAATATCACTTATAAGTCCTATGAAGTATATTTGTATTATATTATGGATGGGGTATCAATCTACTTCCAAGTGCTATGGATTAATTACTGATATTTTCACCTATGTGAATGGCAAATCTCAGAATACAAGTACAAATTATGTAGTCAGCAGGCCAGATCCCAGGCAAAATTTAAAAGCTTGTTGGGTGGTCTCCTATCTCCCTCTTCTTAATTTTTAAATTTTAACATGATCACATTGCTGCCTTTATATGCTATAAAATGAGTTTCTTGGTTAATTCCATCTGCCTCTTCTGTTCTTCATCTGTTCAGTGTATCCCAGAGCTACTGATGCTCCAGGAACCCTATGCCAATTTTCTTCCTGTTTACATCCCACTGCAGATTTGCTTAATTAACACACAGTGATTAGTTTGTACTGACAATGTGTTACCCTTCTAAGGAAATGGCACTCATAGAATTTAAGGAACTCAATACATTGAGTCTTTTTTTTTAAATATTTTATTTATTTACTTTCAGAGAGATGGGAAGGGAAGGAGAAAGAGGGAGAGAAACATCAATGTGTGGTTGCCTCTCACGTGTCCCCTACCGGGGACCCGGCCCACAACCGAGGGATGTGACCTAGACTGGAAATCACACCAGCAACCCTTTGGTTCACAGCCTGTGCTCAATCCACTGAGCTACACCAGCCAGGACTCGATAAAATTGAGTCTTAAATGTGGAAATTTAGGTACTAGCAATAGGCCGGTAGGAGAGAGCCCCCTGGTGCAGAGAGATTCTGAAGGGCCCGGATTCACCGCACCAAGACCACCCTTGACAGGGACAGTGCCCCTGGATGTGGGGGGAAATTACTGACTCAGGAGGTCTCTGGTTTCAGCATGGAAGGATCCTACATTACAGCGATCCATTCATCCTCTTCCTGTTCCTGTTGGCTTTCTCTACGGCGACGATCATGCAGTGCTTCCTGCTCAGCACCTTCTTCTCCAGGGCCAGCCTGGCCGCAGCCTGTAGTGGGGTCATCTACTTCACCCTCTACCTGCCTCACATCCTCTGCTTCGCCTGGCAGGACCGGATGACGGCCGACCTGAAGATGGCTGTGGTGAGCGACCTTGGGCTCAGCCCTGGCACATGCTATGATTCCTCCGAGGGGTCTGTAGCCATCCGAGAGGACTGGTCCGCCCTTTGAAGGGTTCTACTTTGCCTTTAGGCTCAAAGGGGTGCAGTAAGGTTTAAGGGCACCAGGTAAAAAAGTGGGAGTGACCTGACAGCTCCTACTCACGAAACCTGCTTGATTAGTATGCCCTCGGAAGTAAATGAAAACCAGTTCAACTCGGGTCCCCTTGTGTGTCCACAAGGGGAGACAGCCAAGCCCATTTCACTCCATTTTGTATTCCTAGCATTTGACAAGATTCAGAAGGAAGGGAGCTTGCCTCCCTAACTGTCCTGTCCAGAACGATGTTTCCATGACTTAAAGGTTTTTGTTTCTTGCCAAAAGAACTTCAACTGGGGCAGCTCCCCAAGTGTCTTTATCATGCTCTACCACTGCTTGCAGGAAGGGGTGCAGAAATGAGCCAGTCCAGAGTCAGACCCTGTGGCCAGGAGACACCTCCAGAAATTGGACTTGCGATTGCCTGAGAGACCCCTTAGTTCAGGATTCCCAAACACCACTGTCCTTTACTCTAATCATTTTCAAATAGGTTATTTCCACATTCTCACCAGGCTAAAGAGCTTCTGGGCCCTGTAGGGTGTGGTTTTCCTTATATTCCGGAATCTCCCTGTGCACAGCTCGCTGTGCAGCAGAGTCGAGAAAGAACTACCACCTGCTTATCGTAGGGGAAAGATCTAAGGTCTAAGTAGTTCTCACAATGCAAACTTAGTTGGTTCCAGAGCTGCTGGGGCATCTGCCTTTTATTTGTCATGCTAAACAAGAAACTAATTGCTGCTATCTATAGCACCCAATTTTCCTATTTAAAAAAATTATTGTTATTCTATTACAGTTGTCCCAATTTTTCCTTCTTCGCACTCCTCCACCCAGCACACCTCCCACTCCCATAGTCCATCCTCACACTGTTGTCCATGTCCATGGGTCATTCATACATGTTCTTTGATTAGTCCCTTCTCCTTCTTTCCACCATCATCCCCCTCCCTCCTTCCCTCTGGCTGTTGTCAGTTTGTTCCATGTTTCCATGCTTCTGGTTATGTTTTGTTCATTAGTTTATTTTTGTTCATTAGATTCCTCTTATGTGAGATCATGTAGTATTTTTCTTTCACTAACTGGCTTATTTCACTTAGCATAATATTCTCCAGTTCCACCCATTCTGACGCGAAGGATAGGAGTTCCTTCTTTCTTTCTGCTGCGTAGTATTGCATTGTGTAAATGTACCACAGTGTTTTAATCCACTCATTTACTGATGGGCACTTAGGTTGTTTCCAGGACTTGGCTTTTGTAAATTGTGCTGCTATGAACATGGGGGTGCATAGGTTCTTTTGAATTGGTGTTTCAGGGTTCTTAGGGTATAATCCCAGAGTGGAGTCACTGGGTCAAAAGGCAGATCCATTTTTAGTTTTTGGAGGAAATTCCATGCTGTTTTCCACAGTGGCTGCACCAGTGTTGTCCCATCAACAGTGCACTAGAGTTCCCTTTTCCCCACATCCTTGCCAGCACTTTTTTGTTGATTTATTAGTGATGGCCATTCTGACCAGTGTGAGGTAATACCTCATTGTGCTTTTAATTTGCATCCCTCTGATGGCTAGTGATGTTGAGCATCTTTTCATATGTCTATGGGCTCTCTGTATGTCCTTGGAGAGGTGTATATTCAGATCCTTTGCCCATTTTTTAATTAGATTGTTTGCCTTTCTGATGTTGAGCTGTGTGAGTTCTTTGTGTATTTTGGAGATTAGACCCTTGTCCAATGTATTATTGGCAAATATGTCCTCCCATATAGTTAGTTCCCTTGTCATTTTAATGATACTTTCTTTAGCCATAGGACCCAATTTTCTAAAATGATCACAATGGGTTAGTAGCAAAAAGTCCTTTGGATTCTGCCCAGGGGTAAAGCTGGGTGACCTTGGCATACTGGTTAGACAGTCAGTGTTTTGAGACCACAGCTAGATTCTGGGATGTGTGGATCTACCAGGAAGCCATAGTTCTGGCAACTGTGTGGATTAGGGCTGGGCTGAACATATAGCTAAATAACCCCTTCTTTGCAGAGAGGCATTCTGAACCCCACCCTAAGTCCTCTAAACTATGGGGAGGCCTCTGAGCAGAGGAAGTGGGACTAGCCCATCCCTCTGCCTGTGTTTATGTGCCTTCTGTCAGGTCAGGGCCAGCCGTGAGGACCTGGCTGGGGAACTTCCTCTTCAGAAAGCCTGCTCTGCACACTACCCAGTCAGTTGACTAGTACTCTCCACAGAGAACCTAAAAGAATGAGTGTCCCCAGTCTGGAGATGGGAAAAGGTAAGACAGTTGATGTTGTCTGAGGCAGTTATAGACTGTGATAGACCCCAGGAGGTCATGAGACCCTCCCTGCATGGCCCCCTTGCTGCCCTAGGAAACCGATGACTTTGTGCAGTGGGGTTCCCACAAAGCTGCTCAAGTTAGCTTCTTTGTTTTACTAAGAACTGTGATCTTAAGAAAGAGGTAGAAAGAAGGGGGAAAGCAGGTAAGTGAACATGAGGACCTTTGGTCTTTCAATGTGTCATGCTGTGCTGGGTTTGTCTTCCCCATTACACAACTGTGTTCCATTGAACAGGTGAGAGGTGGCCCAGTGGGTAGTAGGCAGGGGCCCTGAGACTTGAGAGGCATTCCTATAATTCTTGTCCTGCAGGAAGACTGCCTTAACCAATCCCTAAGGTGGCTTTACACCTGGACACAATAAGGACCCTCTTTTGGCCCTCCTCCCTACCTGTGAGCATCTGGGTGCTGTTGGGTTGGATAAAAATCCCTCCTCACCTGTGTACCCTTTTTGCCCCACTGCAGAGCCTGCTGTCTCCTGTGGCATTTGGGTTTGGCACTGAGTACCTGGCCCGCTTTGAGGAGCAAGGCCTGGGGCTGCAGTGGAGCAATATCGGGAACAGTCCGGTGGAAGGGGATGAATTCAGTTTCCTGATGTCCATGAAGATGATGCTTCTCGACGCTGCTCTGTATGGCTTGCTTGCCTGGTACCTTGACCAGGTGTTTCCTGGTAAGTATTCCTGTTCCTAGGGTAAAAGTAATTGGGTTCTTCAGATCCCCAGCCCTTCTTCTTTGCTCTAATTTAAATCTCATCCTTTTTAAGCTTTTTAAATCTGGGCTTTCAGAGTCAGCATTTGAAAGTGAAATCCAGGAGTCAAAAATTTTTCAGTGAATGCTGTTGGCTGCTAATGTGCTAATAGATCTAGAATCCGATCCCTTGTCCCCACCTCTGCCCAAGCTTCCCCATCCAGGCCTCCTTCTTCCACTAGCACCTCCTACCAGTCTGTTCTCCTCACTGTATTCAGGGATCCTTTCAGAATCTAGGTCAGACAGTGTCGACCTTCTGTTCAAGTACCTCCAGTGGCTTTTCCTCATGTTCAGAGTAAATTCCAATGTCCCAACTCTGGCCTACAAGATGCTTCATTACTAGCTTCAGCTATCTTCTTCCTCTCCTATTACCCCATGTTCTTTGCTGCAGCCACACCAGCATCCTTATTCAAAGTTCTTCAATACACTGAGTTCATTTTCTCCTTAAGACCTTTGCATGTGCTCCCCCCACTGCCTGGAACATGTTTCTACACACACACACACACACACACACACACACACACACTCACTCATAGCTATAGGCTCGCTTCCTCACTCTGCTCAGGTCTCTGTCCCCATGTCATCCCATCATTGGGATCTTTCCAGACTGAAACTATCCAAATATCTATCCCTATATAAATAATAATCCTTTAGTGCTAATGTCCTTTATCCTACTTTTTTTCTCAGTAAAGATTTATTTTTATTTTTTTAAAGATTTCATTTTATTTATTTGGAGAGGGGGGAAGGGAGGGAGAGGGGAGGGAGAGAAATATCAATGCGTGGTTGCCTCTCATGCACCCCCCCACTGGGGACCTGGCCAGCAACCCAGGCATATGCCCTGACTGGGAATCAAACCGGCAACCCTTTGGTTCTCAGACCTGTGCTCAATCCACTGAGCCACACCAGTCAGGGCTCCTTATCCTACTTCATTTGTTTAAAAAATCACCATCTGACATGATATTCCTGTATGTGTTTGTGCATTGACCTCTCCCAGTAATCTAGGGACCCATGAGAACAGATCCATGGTCTGTATTTTTCAGTGCCTAAAATAGTACCCTACTTCAGGTGCATAAATATCTGATTAATCTGCATCATGAAAAATCAGCTCCTGAATCAAAATTGGATATTTGCATGCTTTTGTATTTGCTTTATATAAATCAGATTTTACTTCAAATTAATCTTTCCTAGTAGCTAGAGAAGTCCCGCCGTGATTTGAGTGGTCTGAGGTTTCCAAGTCAACCAGCAGCCACCTCGTGCTGTGGCATCCACGGCTGGTGCTTGATACTGTGGCCACAAGCTGCAGGGGAGAGAGAGGCTGGGCCTGGCCCTGGGAAGGATGTCCTCACAGCTCTCAGATCATCTGAGGGCAGCACTTGCTGGTGGAAATATGTAGGCAGCAAGCCTGAAGTGGGAAAAAGATCACTGGACTGAGCCAGGAGGCCTGGGTTTGGATCCTAACTGTGTGACTATGTTAGTTTTCTGTGGCTGTCATAACAAAGTGCCACAAACTGGGTAGCCTAGGACAACAAACATTTATTATTTCACAGCTTTGGAGGCTAGAAGTCCAAAGTCAAGGTACTGGCAAGGCCATGCTCCCTCTGAAACCTGTATGGGAAGGATGACCCCTTGCCTCCTTCTAGCTTCCAGTGGTTCCTCAGCAATCTTTGGCATTTCTTGGGTTGTAGATGCATCACTCAAATCATCCTTCTTCACATATTGTTCTCTGTGTGTGTGTCTGTCTTTGAGTGGTCATCCTCTTATAAGGACATCTCTCATCCTGGATTAGGGGCCCACTCTACTCCAGTGTGACCTAACCTCAACTAATCACACTTGCAATGATTCTTTCCAAACAAGGCCATGATTCTGAGGACTCTGGTGTCCTTTTTTCTGATCACTTCTGATACCAAATGTGTCATTTTACCAACACCAAACAGTTCTCCAATATTACCTGGGTGTTCAACAATTCAACTCAATTGTGATAATAACTACCCAGAACTAGTGCAGACCTGCAGGTTCAGTCCTGTGAGACTGCTCCTGTTAGCACAGATAGCTAGATATTAATAATAATGGAAGGGAGAAAAGAAAATCAAACATTATTAAGCATAATACACTAGGGAGCTGAATCAGACAATAAGCCTACTTCCTTAAGAAGCTTCACACACTCCTCAGGGAGCCACTACATCCTCTGCCCTCAGGACCTAATCCCCAGAGTGGGCAGGAAGTGTTGTTACATGTCACAGCCAGGGAAGGAATAAGACAGCAGGAGAAATTCCTCTGCTGGGCACATGCCCAGTAAAAGCCAAGATGGTACAGGGGGTGCTGCTTCTACTATAGGGTGTGTGCAGTAGGAACTAAGATGATGACCACATAGAGGAAAAGCCACAGAAGATCTAGGAAATGGATTTTTTAAGGGGAGGATCCAACACCAGCCCCTGAAGGATTGGGAAATTGATTGGTTATTTTGAAAAAGCACCTGATTCTTCCTAAGCTCTAGACAATATAATCAGCTTAACAAAGCTCTCGCTCTTTCTCTTGCTTGGTAACATGCGCACTTGCCCATTCATTCACACATTCTCTCTTCACAGCAGAAACAGACAAATGGAAGACATGGTTAGAGTGAGGTACAGGAGCGATGGTGTAGAGAGCTTCCCTTCTCTGTCTGGGTACAGTACCCTCCAAGCACCTCGAGGTGCCCACCAACCTGGAAGCTCCTTGAATTTAATTGTTGAAGTTTTTATATTCCATCTCCAGTCCCTCTCCCCTCCCTAGAGGTGGGAAGAGAGGCTGAAAGTTCCCATCTCCTTCTACATGTTTGCTTTTTCTGGTGGGGCCCCATCATAAAGTGATTTAGTGGCCCCCACAGAGTCACCTCATTAGCATAAAGTCAGGAGTGGTTGACGGCCCGGCTCATTATGAATAACAAAATGCACTCCTCTCATTTGGGAAAATCCAAGGGCTCTACAAGCTCTGCCAGAAAGTGGGAATGAAGACCGAGTATATTTTGTATTCTACCACAGACCTCAATGTGCCATTTTTTTGGTGCAGGGTGTGGGAGCCTACACAATTCAACCCATCACAGTGACTTTGAGCAATGCACTGGACCTTGCTCAGCTGCAGTTTTTTTCTATGTCACTGGGCCATTAGAAGGTGATAAGTGGAAATTAGTTGGAATGAAAATGAAATTTGTGCATAATTCAAGAGCTTTACTTTAACCAAGCTAAAGCTTTAATTTTTTAACAACAGTTGACTGAGCAGCACCTGGCCGTTAGCTCCACCGCCAGGTTCTGGGGAAAGAGTGGTGGAAAAAACAGACCCAGGCCTGCCCTAAAGGAGCTTACAGTCTGGCAACAACCATAAAACATGAGATAACTATTAAATAAGCAAAGACAGTATTCTCGCACAATCAACATTTTACAGGGAGCAAAGCTTGCTAAGAGGACTGGACTAGGAATTTGGGAATCTTTTGCTTGAAACCCAGATGGTCCCAGCAGGGTGTGGTGGCGAAATCAGTGGCATCAGGACCAGCTGAGCCATGTTAGAGTGCCCGCAGTCAGCTCGACTAGCTGTGGCCTGGGGCAGAGAGTCATACCCAGTGTGCCTCCCTTTCCTTACCCAGAGGAACACCACCTATCTCCTAGGGTGGTTCTGAGGATTAAATTATTTAACATATGGGAAATGCTTAGGTAATGCCTGACACAGAAAGAGCATCTAACAAATGTCAGTGATTATCATCATTAATATATGATAATTATTGCAAAGAGCAAGATTAAATTCTTCAATAAAATGTTTTCTTAGAAAACTAATGTCAGCCAAGATCATCAATCTTAGTGTTGCTGGTTCCACCCAAAAAACGACCTTTTGAACTAAAACATGTTGGAACTGGTAGTCTTTGTGGCATCCTGCGGATAGCTGCGTTATGGCTTATGAACTGTAAATATCTGCAGTGACTCCTTGAGGCTGAAATAGATCAGTTCTAGATCTTACAGGACTGCAGTAAGACAGGGTAACTTGGGCTTTCTCTCTTTATTTTCCTGTCTCTTTTAGGGGACTATGGAACCCCACTTCCTTGGTACTTCCTTCTACAAGAGTCCTATTGGCTTGGTGGTGAAGGTGAGTTTTATTTTAATTTAAAAATTAAAAAAAAAATTAACGTTTGAAACTAACTTTTTTGGCCATGCATGGGATATGTGTAGATTATAGAAGTGGCTCTTCTATCATATGTGTGATTCCTGATTGATTACTCTGGGGCCTCCTGGGGGCTCTGCCACCACGCAGCCCCTGGGAGCCCACCTTCTGTGAGCTGCTGGGCCGGGTGTGTGGCTGAGCATTGATGAGCCCTGTGTCCTGGACAGCTTGTGCCCAGTGGATTAAATGGTCCTAGTAAAAGAAGGCCAAACCCCTTCAGGGTACACATGACTTCTGCTGCTTCTCAATTTAAAGCAAAGAGATCCACAGAATTCTGAAGGAACTGCTGCACTCATCTTCTGCTGCCTTCCCTGCCACTTTTTTATTTCTCATCACTTTTTCAAAATATGAACTAATTCATTCTTTTAAGGTAAGGACCCAACCAGAGGCTGGGATGGAGCTGCGATCTTCAAGGCAAAGCCTGGCTGGCTCTCCTGGTGCGGATCTTTGCTGGGGGGTAGGGGTGCAGAGGGCGAGCAGGGCGTTTGCCCAGGATGCCTCTTTGATCAACTGTACCTACTGAACAGGACAGGAGGCTCCAAGGACAGCTCTAGAGATGCGGGGTAGGATGGGGGTAGGGTGGGGGGTGGAAACCACAGATTCTTTTGTGAGGTGTGAGGTGGCAGTGAAATTTCTGACCTGAGAGCTGGGGACTCCCTTGGAACTGGGAGGTTCTGGGAACAAAGGAAGTATTTTCCAATCTGTTTGTTCCTCATCTACCTGCTTTTAACTTTGTGCTATTGGGCCCAACCCAGGATTTATCCTTTAAGCACTAACGTAGGTGTTTGTTTTCTCTTGGGGATTAGCCTAGGGCCTTTAAAAGGCTTGGGTGGGTTTTTCTTTTTTTCTTTATTTTTTTTAATGATTTAAACAAACAGCACTTCCACAACTCAGTGTACTTTTCCATTATGTTGGTTTGTCCATCCTGTCTATCTATAAACTTACACTTCTGCACTCTTATAAATGGGACTTTTTAAGACGGGCGTGTATTCCTAGAATGTTTCTAATATCAATGAATATCAGGATCTGTGGACATTTTTTTTCCCTCTACAATCTCAACAGATAATCTGCCTCTCAAAAAAAATATCTTAAGACAAATGTTCTCCTTCAAAAATGAATCACATATTTTTGCCAACAGAAGCCAAATACTCTTCACCTGTCTCACAGGCTAGACTCGAAATGAAATAGATTCTTACATCTCTCTAACATCAGAAAAGAGCTGAGCTTCTCCACCTAAACCCCCTCCTCTCACAGATGAAACAGGGCCCAGGAGACATCCAGTGTCTTGCCCAAGTTCCCATTGGTCACTTGGGACAAAATCTGCATCAGGGACCCACATTTCCTGACGAGGAACTCACTCCAATAACTAAACTAGTTAGAAGACTATTTCCTCCTACCCTTTTATTACACATTAGTACAGTATCATAGCTAATGAAGTGATTAAAGGAATTGAGGACAATGGATTTAGAAATCCCTCAGGAAGCAGACGTGGAAGCACTGGGGGCCGTTACTTGCCACTCCACCGCACACCCGCGGGCCCACAGAGGGCGGGGGCCAGAGAGAGGCCCTGGCTGGCTGCTGCACAAAAACTCGCCTGCTCTTGCTGGCACGCTCCAGGCGGGGGCCTTTAGATGCTTGGCGACAGCGGTTTCCTCCGGCCCCTGCCGCCCTCTCTGGCTGGCTCCCTCTGCCGCGTCTCTTCCCCTTTCGGGGTGTTCTGATGTGTCCTTTTAAACCAAACGCCAAGGTTAAAAAAAAATGCCTCTGTGTGTGTGGGTGGACGTGGGTGGATGTGGGTAGGTGTACTGCGTGAGCATATGTGTGAATGTGTATGTGTGACATGCATAAGTGTGGGGGGGAGTGTGTGTTTACACCTTTCTTCACTATTTATGCCAGCCTGTACCTCAACCAGGCTCAACCCTGGAGTTAATCCCAAAACATTTAATGTCCATAAAAGCAGATTTTTCTGTGAACCATTCCTCAGTCTGCAAATAAAGCTGGTCACCTGTCCCGTCACCTGGAGTGGACTGTCCTTGAGGCCCAGCATGACTTCAACTTGTTTGGGACTAGAATGAAAAGTGCTGTTAGTGAGATAAGAAAATTAACCCACTTCTCATTCAGTCCAGCTTTGTCAATATATATTTTTAATCACACTCTCTGACATTGTGGGCTTCTCCTGGCTCATTAAGAGAATGAGGTGAAACTTTTGTTTAAAAAACAAACAAACAAACAAAAAAACCCCGCAAAAAAACACCTCCCTCTGGGCTTGGCAAAGGCCACACATTGTGGGCTGTCGGGGTTGCCACTGGCCACATTCAGAACTTCACAGACCCGCAGGTCAGAGGTTGGCAGGGCCATGCTCAGAGCTGGTTCCTGGGAATGCTGACTTGGCCTTTTGAGGGAACTGGGTTTCCAAGTTATGGAAGAAAACTCTGCCCTCCCCCCTCCCCCGCCCTGCCCTTCTTCCCTCCTTCCCTGACTTACTGATTCGAAGTTCACCCACCAGGAGAGTGACAGTGGTTTCTGGTTGGTGCAGGGTGTTCAACCAGAGAAGAAAGGGCCTTGGAAAAGACGGAACCCATAACAGAGGAAATGGAAGACCCGGAACACCCAGAAGGAATAAATGGTAAAAACCTCAGTAAAGAATGCAGAGCAGAGGCAAGGAAAAGGGTCTGAGCAGACCACTTCAGAACGAGGGTGCAAGGGAACCCCGGAAACTGTGTTGACAAGGGTTAAACCCAATAGTTTCTCCAGGGTCCAGCTGCACGTTTGCGGAATGAACGGCCGGCCAGACATTAACGCATGTTTCCTGGAGAAAGCAAATACCAAGTATGTGGTGCGTTTGTGCCCTTGTTAGGCGAATCCCAAGTGAGTTGCACAAATGTGCTGACTTCCGAGGATTTTGCAAGAACAATAACTTGGGTCACTGGGATTTAAGGCGGATATGAGCTATAAGGAAAGACAAAAATAAATACTTCTGTGCATGGGGGGGAAAGAGTGTAGTGGTGCTGCCTTCACTCATGGTTTATAAATCTAGAAGCCCATTCATTCAAGCCGTCAGAAGCCTTTCCTGACTGTAGGGGTTACCTAATGATTCCTGAACTGATGAACTAGGATATAAGTGTTTCCCTGGCCTTTGCCTTCCTCACCTTCCCCCTTGAACCAGTCCTGTACTTCTCCTAGTGTCTCCATTCCCTAAGCACATGCCTTACTCTGAGGATGCTAAAATGCTCTTGCTATTCTTACCCTGGGTTTAGAGAGGCAACCTGGCCTCTGGACTTTGCCCGACATTACATGCTAGCGTCCAGCCTCTATGCCTCTGGCCCACTCCAGGTCAGTGGTCAGTGACCCGCTGCTCTCAGAGAGGTGGCTTGCAGTCAGTAGCACCTCTGGGAAGACCCTCCTCCCAGAGTGGAATTTCAAGGCCAAAATCAAGGGGCTGGAAGCCGCCAGTTCCACCTCAGGCATAGGCGAGGCCAGGAGGTACAGAAAGAGGAAGTATTGGGATGCTTTTGGCAGGGGAGTAAATGCCCAGAACTACAATGTGAAAATGGCAAATTAAGTAGTGCCTTCTAGGGTGAGCTAGAGCAGGGAGAGACTGGAGGCCAGGGCGAGATGGACAAATACCCCGGTAATGAGGGTCTGTGGTGGAGGGGCCTGTGGAGTAGCAGAGTGGAGGGGTTCGGTTTGAAGGACAGTAATGTGGAAAAGCAGACTATCCTATCAGGTTAACTGGAGAAACTCTGGAGTTCTGAGGAACAAGAAGTCAGCTTAGTCAAAATTGCCTCAAAGATTTGAGCCATGGTGACTAGGAGAATGGAGTCTCCAGGAATGGACATGGGAGAGTCTGAAGGACAATGTTGTTTTGGGAAGAAGATGAGGAGTCTGAGCTGCCACCAGAAATCCATGAGAAAATGCCTCACAGACTGTTGGAAACAAGGGCCTAGGACTGAAGACTGAGTTTAGGGCCGACTCCCTATACAGGCAGTAAGCTCACTCTGTGTTGGAATCCCAGCTCTTCTACTCATGAACTTGGTAACCTTGATTAGACTCTTGATGTCTCTCTGTGTTAGGCTTCCTCATCTATAGAAATGGGCATCATAATATCTAAGGGCTGTTAAAAAGGCAAAATGAGGTATCCTATATAAAGCACTTGAAACAGTGCCTGGCACATAGTAACTGTTTGGCAAATGTTAGGTACTATTATAACCACCATTATTCTGTCCTCATCCTTACCAAGGTCACAGCTACAGCCACGGGGGCAGGTGAGATTGCAAGCAGAAGTCATGGCCCAGAGAAAGAATTTGGGGAAATTGTACATTAAGACATCATTTTCACTTCCTGTTGACTTTTCCCTCCGAGACTCCTTCTTTGAACGTGAGCTGCCAGGCTTGGTCCCCGGGGTGTGTGTGAAGAACCTGGTGAAGATCTTTGAGCCCCACGGCCGGCCCGCTGTGGACCGGCTCAACATCACCTTCTATGAGAACCAGATCACCGCCTTCCTCGGTCACAATGGCGCAGGGAAAACCACCACCCTGTGAGTCTTCGGGCACAGACTCTGGATTGCCGTTCGTCCTGTCGTTTTCTGGCTCTCTTCTTCCCCTTAGCTTCAGTCTACCCTTTCCCACAGAATTTTAGTGACAAAAACGTGCTCTATATTTGTGTCCCAGGAATCTGTAAAGCACACTGCACTATTCAGTGCTCACTGTCACGTACTGTTTCATTTGATCCTCACAAGAAGTTGGGGAGGGAAGTGGAGTATTGCCCCCTTTGTGTACCAAGGAAGCTGACATCCAGAGCTGAAGTGACTCCCCAGGGCCACCAGGTCCTGATGGTTCAGTGTGGGCAAGAGCCAAGGCCTCACAATTGTCTCTTGTCTCTGACAGTGCAGGCCTACGCCCCACGTCACTAGTGTTACTACCTTGAACAGTGATTGACAAAGTCATGGTCATCACTATCATATACCCTCAATCAGTAGAATTCTGCTTATTTTCAAAGAGCATTCCTTTCTCTGCCTCTCAGGATTGGTGGCAGTTCTGGTGCAAGTAAAAAGGGTTCAGTTTCTAGAGGGGTAATGGCCTGGTGACTGAAGGCCAAGTTCAGGGAAAATGAAGGCTCAGTACAGATCGCTCAGCTCCAGACGCTTCCCTGACTTTTCTCAGGGACCTGAGCGCCATCTGCAGAGGAGAAGAGGTACTGCTAAGTGTTCCCAAGTTGTGAGGGAGGCGGCCCTCTCCAAAGGCAAAGAGCCCACGTGACACACAGTCGTCAAGTCCTTTGGCTTCTTTCAGAGCCCCAGGAAGGAACAGCAGTGTACACCCTGCCCTGGAATGTTCTCTGAGGGCGGTTCACTGTGAATGGAATGTGGGGCTGGTGCCATTATATTTGGTTCTGTTTCCCTCTAGTGGTTAATCAACAGAGATTTCAGCTTCTAAGGACAATTTCAGATAGGCTGAGATTGTATCTGGACTCAGGGCCAGCGCTGGGTGGGGCAGCGTGAGATCCCTCCGACTGCCCTTCTTGAGAACTAATGTGGTCAGAGAACTCCACCCAGGACCCCAGTACCTCCCCCAGCCAAACCCATGACTTCATCGACTGCTGGAATGCTGCTTCCCCTGGGGGGTGAGACACAATATTTAACAAAAGTAATGTTTTTGAGTTTGACTTCATGTTGGCACTCTTCTAAGTGCTTTATAGGTATTAACTCATTCAATTCTCACAACAACTTCATGAGGTGGGCGTCATTATTTCTCATTTTCCCAAAATGACTAACATTGCTATTGGGCTCTTTATGTTTTGGATCCAAAGACCATGTGGATGGTGGTAATTCCCATACCTGGCTTGAATCAATTAATCAACAAATACACATTGAATGCCTGGGCTTCTCATGAAGACCCTTCCTCTGAGCTTTGTAATAGTGACATCAAGGAAAGCAGGGCCTGTGCATGGAGCAACTGTTACCAGCCCCTAGGGCACCTGGGGTGAGATGGCCGAGTTGGGGAGAGACCGTCAGTTGTAAATGACCCTTCTGCAGCTGTGGATCCTGGAGACCCATGGGTGCCTTCCCAGGAGCACTAGGAAGTAAGCAGGAGCAGAGGAGGAAGGAGGATGTGGTCAGAGCATGCAGGCCTGGACATGCACGTGGAGCTAAGCCCTGTGTGGGAAGCCATTGGTCTCCACAGCTAAGGATGGTTTGGGGTTGACTAAGAGGCATGGATGGAAGTCACTGTGGGAGTCCTCAGTGGCCTGGGGTGGGGCTGCCATCCCAAGGCACTGCTAACAGCCATCCTGTCTGCTACCGACTCTGTTTGGCAGGTCCATCCTGACGGGTCTGTTGCCGCCAACATCCGGGACTGTGCTCATTGGGGGGAAGGACATAGAAAACAGCCTGGATGCAGTCCGGCAGAGCCTCGGCATGTGTCCCCAGCACAACATCTTGTTCCACCAGTGAGTAGGACAGGCATTCAACCCCTCCCCCTGTCTGATTCTTGCCCTGCCACCAGCACACATGTTCCTAGAGCCTGGCTCAGGGACACCAGCTCTGGAGGTTTGAGGCAATACCCCTGTTTGGTTTCCCCAAGTTCAAGGTCCTTTGTCTCGCTTGCAGTGAGTGGTGTCCCTCAGGTGTCTCTGTGGTACGCAGAGCTGAGGTCCCTCCCTCATAAGAGTGACTCGGGTGGCTGGTCCAGAACCCCTTGCTCAGCCCTGAAGTCCTCCCTCTACCAAGGGAGACCAGTGTTCCCTTCTCCCTCTTAAACCAGACACGAAAAACAGACTTTTCAGGAGACTTTTCAGTTGCTTTTTCCCCAAACTTGTATTTCTTATCTAAAGAGTTATACATAGTCATTGAGGAAAGGAAAGAAGGAAATATCGATTAAAAGGAGAAAATAATAGTCACCTATACTTTCACCACCCAGAGACAACCACTGGTAATACCTTGGTATATAATTGTTCAGAACTTTCTCCTGTGCATGTATAGATATACATATTTACTTTAAAATTATAAAGGAGAGTAAAACTCTGCATACAATTTTGTAAACTACCATTTTTTAAAAAATGTGGTTTATTTCTCTTATTCCAAGAAATCATGAACATCTTTACATGTTGTTACATATTCTTCTTTAAATACTTTCTAATGCTTACATACTATGCTGTTGTATGAAGGTGCTATTTAAGCTGTCCCCTCTCCTTACACACATTGAGCAGGGCCGGCTTTTTGGTCTGGTTTGGTATTACAAATGCCACTGTGATGAACATCCCGATCCCTGCATCTTCATGCCCGCCCTTAGTTGTTTCTGTGAGGTAAGTTGGTGCAAGTGGAATCGCTGAGCCCGTTGCCTTTCTCATTGCCCCACCCCCAGCCTCACAGTGGCTGAGCACATCCTGTTCTATGCCCAGCTGAAGGGGAGGTCCTGGGAAGAGGCCCAGCTGGAGACGGAGGCCATGCTGGAGGACACAGGCCTCCACCACAAGAGGAATGAAGAGGCTCAGGATCTGTCAGGTGCTTGATGTGGGAAAAAGATAGGGCTGCAGGTCCCCATTGTTCCCCAGTGCACAGGATGTGTGTGTGTGTGTGTGTGTGTGTGTGTGTGTGTGTGTGGTCTCAGGCTTATAACAGGAGCCATCCGAACAGCTGGAACCCTTTTATAAAGTTATTCTGAGCATGTAAGAGCAGCCCCTCTGGATGATTTTTCACGTGACAAAGCAGCCTGTATTGTATTTGTTCTGATGTTTATGTGTTTGAACTAAAATGTGTGGACAACCTTCCAAAGATCTAACCCTAAGAGGCAGATATTGCCTTTTCTGCATTTAAAGAGGCCTGTACACCACTGGTTTGAATGCTGGCAGCAACAAACCACCGCCAGAGTTAAGGTCCCCCCGCCTTATGCCACCAGCCCTGGGCCTCTCACCTTGTCCTCCACAGCCCCTGAGACCACCCTGCCCCACCTTGTACCTCCAGGTGGCATGCAGAGGAAGCTGTCTGTTGCCATTGCCTTCGTGGGAGATGCCAAGGTGGTCATTCTGGATGAGCCCACCTCTGGGGTGGACCCCTACTCAAGACGCTCAATCTGGGACCTGCTCCTGAAGTATCGCTCAGGTAATGGCCACTGCTCAGTGCCCTGTGCTCTCACTGAGGCTTCATCTGGGGTCCCTACTCTCTCATACCTTTCATTCTGCAACTGAGCAATAGTAAGTCATAACTACACTCACATGGGGGCCTCATCAGTGACTTGGATGAACCTAAGTTCCAGTGGAAGCTTCCTGAGAGTTTCACAAATATAAGCAGGGAATCACTGATGGAGCAGCTACATTCCAAAATATTCTAGAAAATTCTCTCAACCCTTCTGTCTCAAACAATGGGTGCAGCTCTAGGTGAAATTCCCCTTTGAGTAAGGGGACCTAAGTCCCCTGCAAACATCCCAAGAAGCTCCAGAGCTGTGGGATGATTGCCATTCAGGACCAGGGGGAAGGTGGCTTGCCACTGTTCAGTGCTCCAGAAGACTGCTGCAGGTGGAAATGTATCAAAATGGGACATTCCTTCTCTATCACGGCACCTTGCAACCAGTGGGTGCAGACCCAGAAGCAAGAGCAAGCAGAGCTGAGTGCCCATAAAAGGGATGGCATCGTTCAAACCTGTAATTGATTTGGCATCCTGGAATCCTCATTACCTTTTTTATAAAATGACATTTCCAGCTAGTGTAAGAGAGAGAGAGAGAGAGAGAGAGAGAGAGAGAGAGAGAGAGAGAGAGAGAGAGAGAGAAAGCATGCATGCTTCGCAGGGATGTAAATGCAGTGCTTAATGACCCAGACGCTGTGTGCATAGAACTCGGTAGACGCTGACCGACAGTAACAAATGTGCCTCATGTACGATGATTTGCTTGAATCAGGCCCTGCACCTGATGAGCAGTGCTTTACAACATGCAGGATACTGTACAATGCTAACTATTGTCCTGACTGTTCTAGTGCTCTGGACTCTGCTACAGAATGTTTGTGTTTGGTCCCAGGGAGCAGGTAGGTCGCTGTGCATCCTCTCCCATGCACACTGGCACAGGCCTGCCTGCTGATCTCCCTGCCCCTGCCCTTGCAGGCAGGACCATCATCATGTCCACGCACCACATGGACGAGGCCGACCTCCTTGGGGACCGCATCGCCATCATTTCCCAGGGCAGGCTCTACTGCTCGGGCACCCCACTCTTCCTGAAGAGCTGCTTTGGCACCGGCTTCTACTTAACCGTGGTGCGCAAGATGAAAAACACCCAGAGCCGGAGATCAGGCTGTGAGGTATGTGTCTGCCCCGGGAAACAGCCTGTCCTAGGGGCGCAGCAGGAATACATAGCGCGGTGCTGCGCTTCTGGACATGCCTACCCACATCAGGTTCTGGCCGTCAGAACTGCCCTCTTCGTTTCTGGGACCACTTGTAGATTTTGACGAACTGACATCCTGGATCCTCTTACAGCATACAGAGATGCTCTACCCTAAACAAAACGACTAGTGTTTTTTTTTACTTTTATTTTATTTTTATTTTTTAAAGATCTTATTTACTTATTTCGAGAGAGAGGGGAGGGGGGAGAGAAACATCAATGTGTTTTGCCCCTTGTGTGCCCTGCACTGGGGACCTGACCCACAATCCAGGCATGTGCCCTGACTGGGAATTGAACCAGCGACCCTTTGGTTCACAGGCCGGTGCTCAATCCACTGAGCCACACCAGCTAGGGCTTTTCTTTGTTTTTATTGTTGACATTATTACAGATGTCCCTTTTCCCCCTCTTCGGCCACCTCCACCCAGCCCCCAGGCCCCCTTCCCTCTGGTCATCGCCACACTATTGTCTGTGAGCTGCGCATAGATGACCTGAGACTCTTATACTCCTGAATTCTAAACCACACATGTATGGCGCAACATGCAAGTTATGTCTTATTTTGCAAGGTTGTACTCTTTTAAGGACAGTAGTTGTTTAAGCTTCCTTTTTTCATTCCAACATTTATGTTCCCTAATTAAACCATAATTCCCCTTATAAACAAAAGCTAAGAAAAAACTTCCTTGAGAATTATAACCTAAAAATAATGAAGCAAAAAAAAAATACCATCCAGCAGAGACCCCCCCAGCATGTCAGGAGACCCAGGTTCAGGTGTGGGCTGCAGGTGGGCAAATTGTGCCATCCCAGGCAAATGACTTGATTCTTTGTCATCGTTGTTGTTTTTTTTTTCCACAGAGAAAATGAAACTAATAATCTCTGATTTTTCTTCCTAGGGAGATGATGAAAATAAAAGAGATAAAGTATTATGAACAATGTTTGGGTTGTCATGCTTACTATATTGTAGCATCATTTATGCCTCTGGCCCCTGTAGTTTAAATGTCTGAGTGTTCCTGTCCTGGGTGTGTTCTCACAGCTCAGCATGCATCCAGGGGGCGGGAGGAGCAGAATGCCTTGCACAGTCAGCCCTACAGCTGTCATATAAGTGATGACAAGCCAGGGGATCCTTTGAGGTTCTGCTTACTCTCTGTGCCTGAGTCACAGGATAAAATCGCATAACCACACCTTCACAATGCTCAGATGAAGTGATAGTTAAAACCATGCAGAAAAATGTGTTGACCACACTTGGTGGTTGAGAAATAAGGCACGGTGGTGACAATAGTCAACACCAGGCAGATGCCATCATTAATGTGGCCGATGTCCCTCTGTTGTAGGGGACCTGCAGCTGTGCATCTCAGGGTTTCTCCATCAGGTGTCCAGCTCCTGGAGATGAGATAACTCCAGAACAAGTCTTGGATGGTAAGGAGTGGGACAGGCCACGTCTTGGTTCTTGTCTGGTGATCACATCTCAGTATTGTTGGGTGTGTCGCCTGCTGTCATGCATTTTAATGGGAGCAAAGAGAATATTTGGTGTACTTTTCAAGTCCATGGCATGCAATTGCTTCATTTTTTCTTTGAGCTTCTTTCTCTTCCTCCATTCCCCAAAGGATTTTAAAAGTCATGAGCCTAAGGACCCTCTCCCTATAATGGGGATTCACTCTTTGTTCACTCCCTGCCCTTGCCCATAATCAAGCCTCCATTCCTGGGGGCGTCCTGCCCTGGCTCCAGGCCACATGCCTGAGTGCCCGGAGAGCTGGGCTTCTAAAGGTGGCAGATGAAGCCCTCTGATGGAACCACGGTGACACACAGCTCTCCTAATGACCTTTTCCAGAGTCAGATTGCACTGTGTAGATGCCATGTCTGTGGAAAATTGCACATCTCTTTTACACTCCTAATTTTTTCTTCAATTTACCAATTTTCAAGCAACTGTACCTTGGATTAAGGTGCATTAAACCTCATAAGAGGTGCCTCCACCTCGAGGGTGATGCAGGAGAAAGGTTGTCACTGTAGAAGCACCCACCCCACAGGATCTGATCTTAGAAACACACTGTTTGCCAACAACTCTTTCCATTTCTCCACTATGCCCACCTCCCGCCCCTCCCCTGGGGTGTCTTTGCAGATGGAATCCCACACCCCCCATATCCCCAAATAGGAGCAAAACTAAACCTATGGACTGACCCAGGTTAATGAAGGGGAAAAGTATCTGCTGATCAAAGAAAAAACAAAGTTTCTTATTTACCACAATTTGTTTTCTAAATCTGAAGAAATTATAAACTAACATTTGGTGAAACAAGAAAACTAGACAATGTTTCTGTACTAAGCTTAACATTTACGAGAAACTCCCCGGAGCCACCTCATATTTACTCGTTCACCTCCCTTTGCACTGATGGGACCCATGGTGAACACGCATGTGGTGAACACGCACGTCCTGCTGGGTGACATCTGTCTGTCTGTCTCTAGCCGGCTCTGCTGTGGGCTCCTCCTGCTTTCTGATGTTCCCTCCCAGGAGGAATCTTGGCGAACAATTTGATAATTTTTAAAAATGAATACTAATTACTGTGGTGCAGCAAAATCAAGTTGGAAAGAGAGCCTGCTGCCTAGGTGATTTAAAAAAATATTCCTTGATTTCTGAAGATCCCTTTTCTGTTACTAGAATAGGGATGCCGTGAGTGATGAGAAGCACAGTAAGCACTTATGCCAGATTCACTCCTCGGAAGGCTTTCCCCTCATGCACACCATGCACCACGCACTCACTCCATACCCCCCTGCTGCCCCGAAGGACCACTTCTGGAAAGGCTGACACGCACACATCTGAGACACAATTCCTGGGAATCCAGCAGCTTCAGGTTGGATTTCCTTCCTAACAGAACAATGAGCGTGACCTCCTGAGAGCTGGTAGGGCAGAGCAGCTTCCTCATGCAAGGAGCCCTCCAGCCTCTGTATGAAGTCATCCCTGAACTAAGGACAATTGAGTCCAACTTGCAGATTTGCCATAAAACAAGCTTTTCAGTCCTGCTAGGCAGAAGGATTTGGGTTGAAAGCCATGAAACCCTCACTGTGTGCCATTTCTGCAACAAAGAAAGAAAAGAGCCCACTGGGCGTCCAGACCTGAGAGGACTGCTTGTGCAAATGCATGAGAGCTGGGTTCTGGGTCCCCCAAACTCCTTTATCTTTGACCTGCCTCTCAAGATGATGGGCTAGATGACTGCTTCTTCAGACAAATGCTTTACACTTTATAAAGTTAGCTTTTTAATTTTAAAGTAGCACATTTGTAAACAAACCTCGATACTGATTGCATGAGGATATCAGGTCAATACTTGATACTGGACATGCCCCCATATACCCTGCCTTCCACCCCCCAGTCCATCTCCACAGCTTCCTGGCCCCTCCTGCATTTGCTGTGAGCTGGGTATTGAGCTATGTGTGTTTCAGGAGGCAGGTGCACTTCCAAGGGGACAGATACAGTCCTGAAAAAAGTTAGATCAGCACGGGTGTGTGATTTAGGAAGGGGAGTGCTCACCCAGCTTAGTTACCAGGTCTAGGTATATCTTGGGCAAGTCCCCTATAGCTTGGGCTAGATCAGGAAGATGGAATCAACTTTGACCTTCAGGCTTATGGTGAATAAGAATGAGCTACAGCCCTGGCCAGTGTGGCTCAGCTGGTTGGAACACTGTCCCCAAAACTGAAAGGTCACAGGTTCAGTTCATGGTCAGGGCACATGCCTGGGTTGTGGGTTTGATTCCTGGTCAAGGCGCATATGGTGATGTTTCTCTCACATCCGTGTTTCTTTCCATTCCCCCCACTCACCTCTTTTCCCCCCTCTCTAAAAAATTGGTAAGCATATCCTTGGGTGAGGAATAAAATAAAATAAAATAAAATAAAGTAGTAGTAAAGTAAAATTAAATAAATAAATAAATAAAGCAACGATAATGACACATGCTTTCTCACTCAAGATGCTGTTCATGATGACAACAGCAGCTAAGACTCATCTGCTCGCCAAGCACATATCTAAGTTTCTTTTCTTTTTAATGTGGACTTCTTTTTTTTAAGATTTTATTTATTTATTTTTAGAGAGGAAAGGGAGGGAGAAAGAGAGAGAGAGAAACATCAATGTGCGGTTACTGGGGGTCATGGCCTGCAACCCAGGCATGTACCCTGACTGGGAATCAAACCTGCAACACTTTGGTTCACAGCCCACGCTCAATCCACTGAGCTACGCCAGCCAGGTCTTGATTTAAGTTTCTTACATGGGTTAATTAACTCATCCAATCCTCACAAATAACAATGAAGTCGATGCCATTAGTTTCCTCTCTGCACAGATGAAAGGACTAGGATATGACCTGCCCAGTGTTACATAACTTGTGAGGGACAGAACATCTGATTGAACAAAGGCCGGGTAATGGCCCCTGCGGGCATTGCATGACCTCTCAAGTTTGCAGAGCTAGTTAGTGGGGGCATTTCTTTCCTCCTCCCCCTCCCTCTTAGTGCCCATCAGGAGGCCAACAAAGCTAAACATGGACATTAAGGAGTGTTACTCCTCCAAAATTTACTCCTGAGGAACAAAGTACCCCTTCCTCAAATGGGAACAAAGTGGGGACCTGGGCAAGCTCACAGCCTTCTAGGTTCAGGAAAACAGTTGCCCTCAGTATCTTTTTCTTGCCCTAGGAGATGTGAATGAGCTGACAGATATGGTTCGCCACCATGTTCCAGAGGCAAAGCTGGTGGAATGCATTGGTCAAGAACTGATCTTCCTTCTTCCGAATAAGAACTTCAAGCAGAGGGCATATGCCAGCCTTTTCAGAGAACTGGAGGAGTCGCTGGCTGACCTGGGTCTCAGTAGTTTTGGAATTTCTGACACTCCCCTGGAAGAGGTAAGGCAGAGATCACAGATACCAGAAGGCATGCAAAGTCTCACATTAGAGGGAAATTCTGGGAATGCAGAAAGCCATACATCCCCACCCAAGCACAGCAACTGTCTTCATTTTTCAGCACACTTCCTCCTGCCTTTGTCCATATGCACACATATTTTACGTAATTGTGGTCACCATGTGCATACAACCCTGTGTTTATAGAAGACTGTATTCTTAGATAAGAAGTCATAATGTATTTTCTTCCCATCGTGAAGCAATACCCAACAAAATTGATCTTGGCTTAAGCCCTGGCTAGGCAGTTCAGTTAGTTAGCGTGTTGTCCTGTTATGTCAAGGTTGTAGGTTCAATTCTGAGTCAGGGCACATGCAAGAAGCAAACAAGGGCCCTGGCTGGTGTGTCTCAGTGGATTGAGTGCCAGCTTGCAAACAAAAGGGTCTCCAGTTTGATTCCCAGTCAGGGCACATACCTCAGTTGCGGGCCAGGTCCCCAGTGGGGGGCGTGTGAGAAGCAACCACAGATTAATGTTTCTCTCTCTTTCTCTCTCCCTTCCCCCTTCCTTAAAAATAAATAAATAGAATCTTTTTTTAGAAAAGAAGAGGCAACCAATGAATGCCTAAATAAGTGGAAGGACAAATCAATGTTACTCTCTCTCCCTTCCCCTCTCTCTCCACAATCAATAAATAAGGTTTTAAAACATTGATCTTGGCTTAGATTTTTCTGACAGTGGAATGTCTAAACCAAATCCTCTCTTTTTTTACTCTTGACAGGTATTTCTGAAGGTCACAGAGGACTCTGATTCAGGACCTCTGTTCACTGGTATGGTGCCGAAGTTTACGGCTGTTTTCCTCACTGCCCCGCCCTCCACTCTATCTTGAAAATCTAAGGAAAAAGTCATGAAACACCAAAGTAGGCAAACACTCTCCATAGTATTTGTCTGACATCTGAATTACAGGGTTTTGCATTCTTCGTTCCTTTGAAGGGCAAAGAAAAGACAAATGGAGTTAGGTCTGGGTGGGAATGCTGGATGAATGGGGCCGGCAGCCTCCCTGCACCTGAGCCTCTCATCCCCCTGCCAGGTCGCCCGTTTCTGCCAGGTCGCCATCCTCATCTCCTCCTCTTATCTCTACCAGGCCTCTGATCGGCTCCTGTCTGCTCTAGTTGTACACTGCAGAGTCCTTGGTGATACTGATGACAGTAAAGACAACCCAGATGCTGGCTAGGATCCTCTGCCCCCTCTGAGATCAAGATAACACAATTCCGAACCCTCATTTAGCACCCTGTGGAGATTTGAAACTGTGGGGATCATAATTCCTGCAAATTCTGGGGGCCTCTCTTTTATATATGTGAGCCTTGGCATCAGCAAGCCTTTTCCATGATTTCTACCTAAACCCCTAAGCCTCTCAAAGCATTCAAGTAGACATCACTGTGGAGGTTGGGGGTGGGGGGCTAAGGGGGGGACAGACATGCAAGAGCAGTTACCTGCCACAGTACACGGGCTACTTTTGATAGAACAAAGAACAATAGCATCCACCCACACTGAAAAAATCTTCTTCTCCCTGGCCCCTCTCTCCCCTTCGTTGTCCTCTCTCCTGCACAGCTGTGTGGCAGTTCTCCTTTGCTGCCGTGGGCTCCTGCCACTGGTTACCTCCTTCCACATGGCGGAGCATATCATGGTGTTTTCTCTATACAAAAACTGCTTCCTCCCTGTGGGGTTTCTGGTGCTAGTTCTTAAGGTGATATGGTTTTCATCTTGCTCTGTAAGTGATCCCAGAAGTTTATTTATCAGCTATGCCCAGAACTTTCAATGGTCAAACTTTCCAGCCCAAATGTGCTCCAGGACCCAGGCAGGTCATGTGGTAGCTGAAAGAGGTGGACATCTTGGCAGACTGGGGAGAGAAGGGCAGGCCTCTGGAGGGGGTGGGAGCAGCTCCCCACAGGGCCCCAGGCTTGCTTTCCAGCTTTGCAGACACAGAAATGGAATTCTCTTAGCTCAGCCAAAGTCAAAGACTTACATTAACCAAGACCAGAATGAAAATATGCTAATTTATAGCAGAAGCTATGCTGGATTCCAGAGTTGGGGCCTCTTGTCTGCAGAGAATAAGTTAGTCCCTCTCAGAAGAATAAATTACACATCAGAAGATTGGTCAGCCTGGGCACAGAATGGAATGTTCCAAAGAGGAAGTCGAGGAGAGAGGTTAAGAGTGAAGCCTCTAAAATGAGCTCAGACCCGAGCTCCACAATTTGCTAACTGAACAGTTTTGGGTAAATACCTGCTTCTTTGTACTTCAGTTTCCTCATCTGCAAGATAAGACTAGTAATGGTATCAACCTTCTAATGTTGTTGAGAGAATTAAATGAGTTCATACCTGCCAAGTCTTAACACAGTGTGCAGTTTCTGATTAACATTTAGCAGCACACTGAGATCAGCACACTGATCTCAGCACTGACAAGTCATCTCTGACCTCAGACTTGTGTAGCGTAGCCCTCGGTACTTTGGAGGGCATGTGGCATCCAGTGTTTGTTTAACTGCCACCCGTCTCATGGACAGGCAAGGCAGAGATTAGTCTGTCTGTGGAAGCTGAGCTCACACCGATTGGATGACTTGCCTAAAGTCTCACAAGATTCTGAGTCTTGTTTTCTGGTTTTAGCTTTCAAATCTAGGACCCTCAATGCCAAACTCTCACTGCTTCCCATTTTCAGATGACTAAATAGCACTTGTTTTGGATTGGCTCCGTTTTAGAGGACATTTTCAGATCTAGTTTGAAAAGTCTAAAGGAACCAGTAGCTTTGTCCACTGGAGACACCCTCTTCCTTGCATGGTACCAAGGTCAGTGCCACTTCTGAAGAGGGTGGCACATAGCCAGTTAACACTAGAGGGCAGCAGAGCCAGGGACAACCTGCAATTCTAATTATGAACTTGGCTCTGGCTGGGAAAGTGGGCTTGCGGCTGGATGGGGCATCAGGAATAGACATGCAGAGAGGCAGCAGATGTCCAAAGAGAGGGGTGGCCACAGAACATGCCAAAACTGAGTCCAGATCAGGTGAAAAGAGACTGGAGAACTAGGACTCCAGCACCCTGAAGTCAACAAGCTTGGGAAAGTCCTTTCCATCCTGAGTAGCCAGGCCTGCTGCATTGCCGGTGTCTGAGAATGCTTAATAGGCGACCTTTGCACTGCCCTCAGCCTGGGGCACGTGAGGAGGGTGAAGAGAGCAGGTGGGACCAAGCAGAGGTCCTCCAGGCTCTCCCTTTATGTCTAACATGTTCTGCGAATGAACATTGAACAATGACGATAAACTAAAGCTTCAATATGGCTGATAATTTATAATAGTTCATAAAGCACATTCACATGTGTTAGCTCATCTGACCTTTATGACAATCCTGTAAAATGTCCTCATTTTCATTCTACAGAAGAGAAAACTTGAATTCAGGCCGGTTGAGCCACTCAGCCAAATTTATCTAGCAAGAGTCAGGGTTCAAGCCAGTTCTCCTGACTCCTAACTCATTGGTCTTTCCACCGCTTCACAGTGGCCGCTAAGATTTAGGAAGAACCAAGTCGACTCTGTCTTTTATATTTTTAAATTCGCAGGTTACACATGAACACACTTTGTGTTAAAAAATTTTTTCAAATAATACAGAAGGAGGCTAAGATCATCCTTCCAGCTTCAGCCCTCACCCCGTATGCAGCTCCACTGCAGGGGTGACCTCTGTCAGCAGTCAATGGGCAATCCTCCAAACGTGTGTGTGTTACGTGTGTGTGTAGGAAATATCACGCTTCTTTGTATATGGTGTGCGTGCTCTCTGACATAAATGTAATCTCATTACACATATCATTCTGCTACTTAGTTACATGTTTCCAGCCTCTCTCAGTGCATTTAGAGATCTCTCATTCCTTGTGACTACTATAGAGAATACTTGAGTCATTTCAGGTTATTCTGTCTATAAATCATTTACACTAAAAAATAGAATTTTTAAAAGTTTATTAACCTACCTGGTTTGAGATTTTGTTCTTTATTTAAATGAAGGGAAATCTAATGCAATAAGAAAAAAATAGCATATGAGATCTGGACTTTGTGGGTGTTTTTCTATTTATTAATTCATTCTCAGGCAGCACTCAGCAGAGAAGAGAAGCCATCAGCCTGCGACACCCCTGCTTGGGTCCTAGCAAGAAGGGTCCTAGCAAGGAGGTCATACAGACTCCCCAGGGCTCCCACAGTGACTCTGTGCAGCAGGCCCCTCCTGCTGAGGGTCGGCCTTCACCAGCGGAACAGGGTGGCCAGCTTAACACGGGAGCACGCCTCATCACCCAGCACGTGCAGGCGCTGCTGGTCAAGCGATTCCACCATGCTGTCCGCAGCCACAAGGACTTCCTGGCCCAGGTACCGCTGTGGGCCTCTGGCCATGCTCAGTGGTCCCTGACTGGGGCCTGCCCACCCTCTCCCCATCTTTCCGGACCAAACAGGCTTGAACACAGGGGTTCAGGTGTAGCAGTGAGCACCCTCTTTGGGTTCTGTTGGCTGCGTCTCCTCCTTGCCAAACTGTATTTTAATTCTTGGCTAACACAAAGCTTCTCTGTAAGTATTCATCCTCACTAAGCAGAGAAAATAGAATAATAGTGAGTGTGTTAATATTGCTATTATGTTACAATAAAGGGGAAAGTCATGTTTTTCTTCATCTTTGCAATGACCCTACATATCAAGATCATTGTCCTCATTTTTCTTTGTATGTTTTTTATTCAGAAAAAGAAACACTGGTTCCCCTCTGGCTAAACTCTGGTTCCCCTCTGGCCCACTTCAGTGTGCGGTGTCGGTCTACTCCGACCGTTCTCAGTGGTTGCCGGAACACTGTCTTCTCCCAGGAGCCTAGCCTTCACACATGCTGCCCAGAATGTTCCCCAGAAGCCTGACCTCCCACCAGGGCCCAGTTATGAAGCAGCAGGATAAATGTTTAAAAAATGAACGTATATGGCTGCATGTGTGTTTGTGTGTCTTTTGCACACCACTGCCCACAGTCCATGTTGCCATGTTTATTTTCCCACAGATTGTGCTCCCAGCCACTTTTGTGTTTCTGGCTCTGATGCTTTCCATCATCGTCCCTCCTTTTGGGGAATATCCTGCTTTGACCCTTCACCCCTGGATGTACGGGCAGCAGTACACCTTCTTCAGGTGCGTAGGATCATCACCGGAGGTCATCATTGGCCTCCATAGGGTGTGGGGCTCCTGGGTCACATGCTGCTTGGGCCCCCCACCCCCCGCTGCCCCGGGATAGTCACCAATGTGGCAGGGTGCTTGGGCTGCCATCAGAAAGGAAATCACCTGTCGCTTGGGAAAGGTGATTCCGAGTGGACAACTAGGATGGCCAGGAGTAAGGAAAGAGGAAATACAGTTTAGGAGAGTGGCTGAAGCTTCATTGTTGTGGGGCCCAGACATGATACGCCATCCGATCACTGGCTGTGCTTGGGGGGCTGCCCTCGTCCCAGAGAACTTACGATCACCCCACACATCATCCTGTGCCCTGTGGACACGCCTGGCATGTAGCAGCCACCCAATAAAACACTGTCGAGTTGCATGTCGGCTGCTTCATCCTTCTGTCCCAGTCATGTGCCCACTGAGTGAGCCCCCTCGCGTTGTCTAGCATGGACCAGCCGGGCAGCGAGCGGCTCGCAGCACTTGCAGACGTCCTCCTGAACAAGCCAGGCTTTGGCAACCGCTGCCTAAAGGAAGAGCGGCTCCCGTAAGTCCCTGAGCGCCCCCACTCCAGCGCCATCAGCTGCCCTGGGAGAGATGGGCACCGAGATGGCAGGGTGAGGTCAGCCCCGTCTCAGTCCTGCTCTGTGCTCCACGGACGCGGCTGTCCGTGACCAGTGCTCACCCAGCTTCCCGTGCACACCCATGTGCAAAGGCGCTCACTGCGTCTCTGGAAGCCTCTGCATCACCTGACAGTTCTTCATTTCTATAATTCCTGATATCAGAAGTTCCATACTACTTTAATTTATGCTTCCCACAACCTATTGGAAAGGAATCTGAACAAGCGAAGGAGGGAGATAGGGATTGTCGATTATATAATCAGACCAAGAGTGGCATTAATTATGTATGTGGCCAACTTTCAATTATTGCTACAAGTGTAGAGAAGGGAGTTTTAGAGGGCATTTGAAAGCCACCAAAAATCCTGGCAGTTCAACACAATTTTAACTGCTTCTCTCATTTAGTCTTTTTCAGAGCTGTTGATAAGGACCAAACTAGACTAATTTCAAACTTCTCTTTTATTTGTCATCTCTCAACAGCTAGAGCCACCAGAAGAGAAAAAAGAGATAAAACTGTCCACAAACTAGATCATTATTCCCTGGCCCCACACTGAGTCAATTAAAAAAACAAAAACAAGAAACAAAAAACCCTAAGCTTGATTTTTCTTGAGCAGAAACTAACGTCTAAGAGTGTAGACAGGAGTGCGTAGCTCTGAGGACGGGGAGGGAAGGCTAAGACGGATAAGGTTGGGTGCTGTTTCTCACTTCTGCAGATTTTTATCAACTTTGGAGCTGACTGTGAAATATTTTCTTGTCTTCTGTGAGGGAGTTCCCCTGTGGCAACTCAACCCCCTGGAAGATTCCCTCTGTGTCGCCGAATGTCGCCCACCTGTTCCAGAAGCAGAAGTGGACCCCAGACCACCCCTCGCCTTCCTGCAGATGCAGCACCAGAGAGAAGCTCACCATGCTCCCCGAGTGCCCTGAGGGTGCCGGGGGGTTCCCGCCCCCTCAGGTACCACGGCCCTCCCAGGGAACCAGGGCCCTGCGTCTGCCTGTGACAGCTGGGGCTGGGGAAGGTATCTTGTGGCCCCAGTTTCTGGCCAAATAGCATTTTAGAATGATGGTCGGGGGCAGGACTACATAGGGTCCCCGGGCCCTCCCAGCAGGTCTCCGAGGGGCCTTGTCCGGCCACTTGGGGGGGGTCACTGACCAAGAGCTCCGTTTCCCACTGAACACTCCCTGTGCACCCTAGTAAGAATGTGCCTTTTATCACTGAAAAACTACACACATCATGCATGTTCACTGTGGAAAAATTAGAAAATACAGATAAGTCAGGAGGAAAACAATCATTCTATCACTTGGAAATAACCACCAATAAATACCTTTGGGTTTTATCCAGTCAAACTGGATGATATTCAGAGCACTGTCTGGACAGCCGCCATCTGCTCTTACTTGCGTTATGAGCGCACGCCCACATCCACGTGCGTCTGCATCATCGCTTCTAGCGCCTGCGCACTGTCCCCGGTTTGGGTTTACTTTACTTAACCAGTCTCTCCTTGTTGGATCTATCGGTTTTCAATTTATGTAACATTATAACCAATGTTGCAGTGTCCATTCAAATGCATATGTATTTGCACACTTATTAACAATCTTAAGAAGCTTGCCACGTGTTGTGTAACTAACATGCGTGCACACGCGCACACACACACACACACACACACACACAGCCAACAGCCTATGCTTTGCAGAGACATTGGCAACCTTGGCTCCGAGCAGCATCCTCTCTCGGATGGCGTGAACTCTAGAATGTATCACAGCGAACCTCTCCTGGGAATTTCAGAGAAGTCTCACTCTGTCTCGGGTCGATAACAGCACCTCCCAGCTGACTTGTGCAGGGTGGGGCATTCGGTGGGCATCACCAGTGAGCTGCCCATGAGTGCATGACCCCCTGAGGGGCAGTGTGGCACAGTGGCAAGGGCACAGGCACTGGCATCAGAGAGCCACAGGTTGGTTCCTTGGCCTCTCTGAGCCTTAATATCCTCACCTATAAACTGGGGGTAACTGTGATTTATTCTATAGCAGTGTATGAGAAGTCAAGGAAACAATGTGGGTAAGGAAACTGGGTCACTCAGAACTACATTGAGCTGAATGAGGACAACCCTAAACGAACAGTGGATAAAATAAGACACACTGTGTTTCTCTCTCATGTGCAAGTTCAGGCAGATTCTCCATACTCCCTGTTTTATTTGCTCCTCTGTGGTAAAGAGGCCTCAGCCTCACTGGCCCAGGTGGCAGAATCTACTTTCCAGGCAGCAGAATGGAAGAGGGGATGGATAAAAAGTGAGGGCCAAGTGTGCAAATGATGCAGACACCGACCTGCAGTGTCCACGTCATTATGGATGAAATGAGACATTCTCTCGGACTACCAAGTCCAGTGGAGGAAAAGGGACAGCATGGCTTTTCTCTCAAGGGGAGCAAAAGCCACAGCCTCCGCCACGACAGGCCTTTATTGGGTTTTCTTCACCCATTAGATGATGGTCCTCATTTACTATGCAGAGGTTCACTTTGGGTGTTACAGAAAACAAAGGAGCCAATGCTATGAATCACATCACAGAAGAGGGATATTGCAAATGAAAAGGCAAAAGTGGTTGAACCAGTTATACTCATCCTTGGAAGGTTTAACATGGATTTTAGGAAGTTACTTTGCAGTAAATGTCCTCAATTCAGGGTGAGGGAGTTTTAGCAAAAAACAACACTCATAGTGGCCTAGGCACATTGCAGGCCTGATTCCCCATGGGAGAACCTATCCGTGGGCGTGGGTCCTGTGCATCTCCCAGTGGGAGCTGGGCCCATGCCACACAGAATAGTCTCCTACATGCATATTCACTGTCTTCTAGGGAGAGTTCAAGAAGCTACCACACAGCACTTTCTCTCACACATCATTGGCCAGAATCAGAAGTCAAGGGAGCCTGGGAACTATAGTCTCTAATCCGGGTGGCCTTGCACCAAACACAAAAGTCTGTTAGGATGGCACATAGCAGAAGGGCTAGAGAAGGTAGTAAGGCACGACTAAATTTTGCCACATCATCAATCATAGTTGCTGGCTTGTAAATGATGTGCTGTTTATGAGCATCTTGTCTTTCTCTTTTTTATATGCTAAAAGTGTATGCCTTTATATTTCTCAAGCAATATATTTTTCCCCTTGAATCATAACTCAGCCACCTCAGCATCACAGGGATCCCCAAAGAGGAACTCAGGGAGTTTGTCCCAATTCTCTGTTCCCTGAGAGAAAGCTGTACTTCTGCTGGGTTTGCCGAGGGCCCCTCTGGTTCCTTCCGCCCTGATGTATGTATGCAGCACTGGGACCACAAGTTCTCATGCCGGGCTCTTGCCCATGGCCGGGACAGAAGGCCAAGAGTGGCTACGTGGAGATTCATTTCACCAGTGAATCCTAACTTCAAGGCTGCTTGTCTAGCTTATAGAAACTTACTTTCAGTGGTTAGTCCTTGATCTCTGGGGGGAAATTTAACAGGCCACTGTGGCCAAAGCCCTGGAAACAGACAAATCGGTTCCTGTGATTGTTCTTTCACTCCTGCATTTCCTCATTGTCATTCATGTCTCTCCTGGGAGCAAAATTGAACATCATCAATCTGTACAGGAGCTACCTCCTCTCTCTCTCTCCTCAGCTCTCTCCCTTTCTCGCTCTCACTTTCTCTCACACACACACACATACATGCACACACACACACTCTCCCTCTCTTATGTTTATACCTAGTCACTCACACTCTCCAATTCAGCCTAGAATTAAGCCAGAGGTAGAGGTGCAGGCTTGGTGTAGAGGTAGTAAATTGCCGTCATCTGGAAAACGGGATGGGGGATGCAGTCTCCTACAGGGATGCACCTGTTCCCACATTCTTTACATGGTGGTGGGTCCTGAGGTGGGAGTGTTCCATCCCTGACTTCTAGACACATAGAGTTAAAGTTACAGGAGTATTTTCCTTTAATAGAAGTTTTTGAAAACAATTCATCATAAACTTCCCAGGCACCAGCAACTGTTCCAGGCTAGACTGCACCTAGGTAGTTTGGCAGTTCCCCTGGGTGCCAGTCTCAGCTTGAGAAGCAGGGTGATGGAGTGAAAAGAGTGAGGGCTGTGGAGTCAGACAGACCTAGGTTCAAATCCTAGGTCAACCCCCTGCAAGTTCTGCAACCTGGTCCGAGTTAGCGAACCTTTCTGAACCTCACCTTCTCTGTATGCAAATTAAAGTAATAATTCCTCTCTCATGAGGGTACGAGGGTTAAGGAATATATTATAATGTATGTGGAGCATTCCACACAGTGCGCAGCACACAGTGTTCTGCAGGTGCTAGTTCTCCTAGCACTAGAGAGAGGGACTGAAGAAGGAAGTACAATAAAGTGGGAAAGGAGGAAGAGGAGACAGAAAGTGTATAAAAATGAGAAGGACAGTGTGTGATGATGGTGGTTTTAAAGCCACCAAAAATTCCCTCAGCTACTTTTGGATGACACCCTCGACACCCAAGGTTCATAACTGACCTGAAACTAAACAATATTTATTCCCAAATTTAAAGTAATACTGCCACCTGGTGACCAAACCCATGCTCTTTAGAATTCTCCAGAATCTTTTGATGAACTAGCTTCCAGTCTTGGATGTATTTGGAAGGGGACTTGTAAATTGTAAGGTGCTGTTTGAATTCTTTCACTCCTGTCACAGATTTATTATTTCAACTATATGTCAGGTACTGTTCTGGGTATTGGGGACACAGCAGCTAACTAGTCAGCGAAAATTCCAACTCTCATCGAATTTGTAACACGTAGGGGTGTAACAGACAAAAACAAGTAAGCAGGTCAATTGGAAAGAAAATTCTGGGTGGAGACGAAGACGTGAAGACTGCACAACACTGTGTTATGATCCAGAATGACTGGAACTAGAACATACCTCTCTGAGGAATAAAACTGGGGCTGAGATGTGAATGGTGATGAGCCAGCTCTGTGAGGTGTCCAGGCCGGGCACCAGACACAGGGAACTGGCAAGTGCATGGCTACTATAGGGCGAGAGGTGAGTGTGTGAGAAGCAGGCAGAATAGGTGGGGAGGATGAGGAGGAAGGGGAGAGTGGCAGCAGGTGGGCTCAGAAGGCAAGGCGGGGCCAGCTCACCTGGGCTGTGCCAGCCTTGGTAATGAATTTGGATCAGATCCCAGGGTTTATTTGGAGTGTGGTAAGCCAGGTGACTAGGGTATTTGATTTACATTTTTAAAGTTCAGTCTGGCTGCTGGGCGGAGAATGGATTGTGGAGGGCCAAAGGTGGAATTAGGGAGACCAGTTTGGAAGCTTCTGTAGCAGTCCAGGTGAAATGTAGGTAGGGGCTTGGGCTGGGGTGGTAGTAGTGGAAATGGAGAGATGCAGATGTATCGGAGATTTATTTGGGAGCTAGAGCTATCCTATCATATCAATGAATTGCAGAAAAGAGAGGGATCAAGGATGACTCCCGTATCATTTACGTGGCAACTAGGGAGATGCTGATGCTTCACTCAGTAGCTTTGTTTCCCAGCAGATGAGTTCATAAATAACTTTTAGTGAAGAACAAGCAGCTTCACAAACTGGAAGGTCTCAAATTTCAAAGTAATTAACACTAATGTCTCATTGCCTCAGAGAGTGCAGAGCAGCACCGAAATCCTACAAGACCTTACAGACCGGAACATCTCCGACTTCCTAGTGAAAACGTATCCTGCGCTAATACGAAGCAGGTAAAAGGGCCCTTAATGCTTTTCATCCTGGGTCCCTAGAGAATCTAGTAACAAAGGATGGAAGATAACTTACTCTCATGATTTATCAACAATTGGGGCAGTGCAATTTTTTTCTTTTTCCTAATTTGAGGGCCTCATCCAACAGAAAAGGTGATTAAGAATATGCAAGTAAAATGCAACTCAAGTATAATTTTGCTTTTGTTTTGTTCAGATTAAGCAGTCTTCAAGATTAACCTGTATACTATTAAGAGTAAAATTTAACAGTATAGAATTTGTCTAATAATGCAGCCTCATATTTTAACTAGTTAAGAAAGAGAGACCAAGTTTGGAGACAGGGATAAATGAGAATAAAGGGGGAAAGGTAGAGGAAAAAGAAACGAGATGGAAAAATAAGAAGTAAAAAGCAGAAAGGAAAAAATTTAGACCAAGAGGGGACAGAGGCAGCAGCAGTGTCCGAGCGAGCCCACGGGCTGGCTGCCGGGTTAACCGCACCTGCCACACTGACAGAAAATGACCACCTGTGGTGCTGCCTTTTAACGTGCAGGGAACTCTTTGGTGACTGTCTATTTCTCCCAGCTCTGCAGCCCTTCCCACAGCCCCTGCGGGGAGGGACTGGCTCTGCAGCCCCTGTGAGAGCAAGCATTTGAACAAGAGCATGCTACCAAGAGAGCATCATAGGGAACCCTATGATCCAGTTCCCATATACTCTGGGGCTAAAATAAAACAACTGTCTAATTTTAGTAGTACTTTCAGTTGCTTCCCCTACCAGAGCCATGCACAAAAAAATAAATGGGCTCAATTAACTAGAACACACTGCAGGTGGTGAAAGCAGCTGCCGAGAAGGCAGGAAACAAACAGAGAATGCCAACCAAGCCCAAAAATAAAAGCAGAGTGCATGGAATTTATGCAATAATGGAATAAACAACAACCATCCCAGACTTTATTCTCAGCAGCAAGGTTGCAATACAGAACCTTGGATTTTGTGCTTGATGACAATGATAGTTCGTGGGCCTGACCTGTGAGCTCTACGGTTGGCATTTTTTTGTCTTCTATCTTGTCATTTTACCCTTGACTGGCTGGAAGTCAGTCTCTGAACTTTGGGCTTGAAGTAAGTCGGAATTTGCCCCAGGTGTGCAGGTGGTTATTAGGGCCTTATTTATGCAGGTGGGAGAGGGGAGGGCTGCAGACTTCACTCCACACTGGTACGATAGTTGCCACATTATCTGGTTCCAGATGGTCTGACAAATGACCTGACAACAGGGCCACCCAGAAAGCCCAGCATGTGGGATGTGACTTGAAGAGCCAGCAGTGGAAAACAGCAGTGCTTTTTCTGCCTGTGTATTTGGCTGGGCTCCTAGGCTGAGGTTTCCATGTTGCCTGAATATCAGGAAATGCAAAAATGCCCCTGAAAACTGGGACACCCCAGTGATTGTCTGGGGAGGAAAGTTAACTCCCCTGTCATGCCTGTGGTATATTCATTGTATGATTTTTTTTTTCACTTTTAGCTTAAAGAACAAATTCTGGGTCAACGAACAGAGGTAAGAAACTATTTTTATAAGAAATTAAAATCTCAAATTGATTTAAAATACTCCCATATAAACAGAGCCACACCTCGAAGCCCTGGAGATAGAATGTCCTGTATGTGCTCAGGAAGCCACACGTCATGTCCTGAAGGATGTGTGGCTGGAGACACCCTGGACCCAGAAGATGCCCCATGTCATAGGTCTCCTCAAAGGACATAGATGGGAAGTGACATTCCTGGAAGACTTGGTCCAGAGCATTCTCACTCAAGGGAGGTTCTAGAAGCTCCAAGGGAATAATAGTTCACAACACTAATGAGAGGACAGGGGACCTAAGCCCTGGCACTTCTTGGCCTCCTCTTTTAAGCCTTAGGGAGTCTGGCCCAGCCCTACACTCACCTCATGCCTGAGGCATCTGGAGACTCAAATGATTCCAGAGGTTTGGAGAATCCTCCAGGGATATTCCAGGAGTGAGCTGGCCTCCCAGGCTCCTTCAGAAATGGGCCTCTAGAATGAATGCAGAGCTGATACTGACTTGATTCCAAACCATAAAAGTGAAATCCAGCTCTTGGAATTGCTCCCTAGAGGGAAGTATGGATCCTCAGCTGAAGCAGAGAGTTGGGGGTAGGGGGAGTGCAATTTGAGTCCCTGAGAAGTAAAGTTCAGTAAATTAATTTTGTTGATCCTACCATTGAAAGGTTTTAAGCCAGAGCGACAAGCCCAGATCTGTGTTTGGGCAGGATCACGGAGCCTCCCAGAGCAGTGTGGAAGATGGTCGGGGGTCAGAAAGCCCCAAGGCTAGGGTCTCAGTTCAGGTGCTGGAGCTCGAGTGGAGGCAAGACCGTTGAGGGGCTGCCCCAGGGCGGGCGGGGCTGAGCAGCACAGGTTGGGCACAGGAGGGCCAATACCAATTGGGTTAAGGGGAGTCCAGGGCTGTCAGAAGTACAGGCAAAGCACAGAAGTGGCACAGGGGAGGAATCAGGGCTGGGATGGGGGCAGAGTCAGGGAGGACTTCAAAGAGAGGATGATGTGTGTAAGTCGAGGAGCCGGAGTGGCCTGATGCTCAAGAAGGGGAAAGGCGCCCCTGGGAAGCTGGCAGCCCTGCGGAGGTGTGGGTTGCCTGAGGAAGTGGGGAGGGGCTGGCTGGAGGAGGACAAAGGGGGAAGTTTGTGACAACTTTAACCAATAAAATATAATTTAAGAAAAAGAGAAAGTAAAACAAGGTTGGTTTGTAAAGTAAAGCCCTGTTGCTCACTAGTGCAGACAATTCCCCCCAAAGTACACATTTCCCTGCAGAAACTGAGAGAGCCACTGGCAAGCACGAAGCACCGTGGACGTGGGTCGTGGCACTGATCTGAGGCCTTCTTGTTCCCTTGTCAGATACGGAGGGATTTCCATTGGAGGGAAGCTCTCGGTTCTCCCCATCGCTGGGGAAGCGCTTGTGGAATTTCTGAGTGACCTTGGCCAGATAATGAATGTGAGCGGGGTATGTAAACAGCCTGGAGATTTGGCTAGGCCTTTCAATGCCGGCTGAAACAAATTATCATGACTGCTAAAAATGCAAATAAAAATCCACTTGCTTGTTCATTAATTACGGTTTTCTAGGGCCCTATCACCAGAGAGGCCTCTAAAGAAATGCCTGCTTTCCTTAAACATCTAGAAACCGAAGACAACCTTAAGGTACTGGCCCTGTGTAGTCTGCCCTAGAGCTGAAAAAATCACATGAGCTGGTTATTTTTATTTTCCCAGATTAATTAAATTCCATCGCATCTGTTGAAATCTAGCACGGAATGTCTTCCGGCTGCCAAACCCTTCCTCCTCCTCACATTCCTTTTCCTGAGGCTCATTTTTTCTTGAAACAGCTGTTGTTAGCACGGCCTCACGGAGCCCCTCCCGCCCTCCAGGTGTGGTTTAACAACAAAGGCTGGCACGCCGCGGTCAGCTTCCTCAACGTGGCCCACAATGCCATCCTGAGAGCCAGCCTGCACCGGGACAGGAACCCGGAGGAGTATGGCATCACTGTCATCAGCCAGCCCCTGAACCTGACCAAGGAGCAGCTCTCCGAGATTACCGTGTAAGCCACCGCAGCCCCAGCCTCATGACTTCCCTGTTAGCCTCTCCTCTCGTTTGGGACCCGAGAGGACTCTCACTAACGGATCCGCGGGGCTGGATGGCAAGGGTGTTTAACCGGGCAGACACGAACACTTGCCACACTCTGTGCACCACACTGCGTGGCTGGTCTTTCTCCTCGTATTTATTAGGGAAGTGAGTGTGTATTTGGTCCCACTCCCTTTTGGCTCTTGATAAGAAGCTGTTCCCGGAGCTCACACAAACATTCTCCACACCAGTATGCACAGTGACCGCTGGGAACTGGGAAGGTTCACTAAACCTTTCATCTCCCCGGCAGTGATTGTCTCAGATTCCGGTGACTCCATCTGATGGTCAGGCTGTGGAGATGGCGACAGAACCTTGCCTTCCTCAAGCTTCGGCTCTTACTGCACAGCTTCAGGAATAAAAACATCCATCTTGTGCAGCTTGTAGTATGTTTTTAGCCTTAGTTAGGGCAAACTCCTTCTGATAAGCTGTAGGGTCCTCGTTTTCCTATCCCTGTATACTGAGTGTCCTGAACACAGGCCCTCAGCATGCCCAGTGTCCCTGGCTGACAGTCGGCCCGGGCCACCCCCCTTCAGACGGCCTTGGGGCCTCCGCGGGGGGGACAGCAGTCTGTGCCGCCTTTGTTCTCACTCAGCACTGCCACGTCTCCTGTGTCTGAAATATGAAATGGAAGTCGTCTGTGATTACAAAATGGTATATGTTCATTAAATAAAAGAACACAGAGTTTTAAGAACTTATTATCTATAACCCTACACAGTTTAGGGTATTTCCTCAAAGCATTTTTGTGCATTTCCCTTTTAGTCATTTGTTCTCCTCTTCCTGCATGTGTGGGTCACACTATTTCCAATTTTATAAGGACACTGACGAGCACATGTGGCGCCTTTGTGGGAATTGAAGGTGCTTCTTTCTCTCGGTGGGCACTGTCCCTGGCAGGGGGTCATGGCTTGGATGTGAAGGTCAGGTTGGGTTTCAGCCCACACTTGGCCTCTGAGCCAGATGCCTTCCACTTGACCCCAGAAAAGGCAAAGAGAGACAAGCCCTGTATACTCAGCCCATCCTCTTTTCCATTAACTTATCATCATGAACATTTTCTCGTGCTATGATGTATTTCACGTTCTAACAAGATAATTTACATCTTCTAACAAAAGAAATAAATTTCATAGGCCATATGACTATCTACCTAAAAAACTGAAAGACTCTATAGGCAAATTATTAGAACAGATAAGAGCATTGTAATATATGACATTAATATAAAAACCCATTTCTATAGCCATCAATAAGTAATTTGAATATGTAATGAAGAGAAAGTTCACCTAGACTTTCATATTAAAATGGAACAATATTCAACATTAACATGGAACAGAAAACCCAAGAATATCCACTTAACCTTGACCCACTTTAAGACGATTGAAGGAAATGACAAACGTTGGGCTAGGGGAGGGGATTCTGGAGGCTGAGACCGAGCACTGGGTGAGCCTCCCCAGAGCCTGACTCTGTCTTCTCCTGCACCTGCTCCGCCTTCTTCACCTCTCTCTGCCTGTATCTCCTGTCTGGCTGCAGGCTGACCTCTTCTGTGGATGCCGTGGTTGCTATCTGTGTTATTTTTGCCATGTCCTTCGTCCCAGCCAGCTTTGTCCTTTATCTGATCCAAGAGAGAGTGAACAAAGCCAAGCACCTCCAGTTTGTCAGTGGAGTGAGCCCTACCACTTACTGGCTGACCAACTTCCTCTGGGACATTGTAAGTGTCAGGTCACAGTGCCTCTCTCCCCTCCATTGGCCTAGGGGGTGGGCCTTTGTGTTTACTATGATTGAGGAACAAGCAGGGTGGGGCTCTGGTACTGCTAGGATTGTCAGAAGGTGCTGCACCAAGGGCCTTGAGTGTCTGCTGTCTGTTGATATCTTAGAAAGGCACAGAACTAGGAGCTTCAAGCTAGAGAAGAATGGAAGGGTCAGCTCAACAACTGCTGAGTGAGGGCTCTGCGTACACTGCCCCAAGGTGCTTTCTGAGCCATCCAATAATTTCTGACTGCAGGAATGAGGCTGGCCGTCCTGAGAATAATCTGGAGCTAAAGGAGTAACATCAAGCAGACCTTCACCCTGTACCCTCTTCTTAAATCCTGCTCCGCCCCCAAAGGGGTGAGGAACTTCCCCTGTGGCAGAGTCACCAGATGAATATAGGATACCCAGCTAAATTTGAACTTCAGATAAACAATGAACTTTTAGTGTTTCACCCCCCAAATATTGCATGGAACATAGTTATACTAAAGAAATATTTTTTGTTTATCTGAAATTCAAATTTAACTAGGTATCCTATATTTTTATTTGCTAAATTTGACAACCCTACCCAGTGGTATTATTTTTCCCCAAAGGAGCCATACCTTTGCTGTACCAGTTAAGCCACCACGTTAGAAAAAAATGAAAAAATATATATTTAACGAGTCAACAGCAGACTACCACCCTTTCACAATCAGCACTGGAGGAGGCGGGGTGGGGGGATACTTCATGACAAGCCACAGGGTCGAACTGGCAGAAAAGCCTAGTTATAATGCAGCGGAGGTCACCGTGACAGCCGGCCTACTCTGGGTGTCTTGGGTAATGAGAGCCTCTGTTTTCTTTATCCCAATGTTCTGCGACTAACCCGAGTCCCACTTCATGTGACGATAAGATTCATTATGATGGAGACCAGCACAAACAACCTGCTCCACTATGACTTTTGATAATGATGGCAAACAGTGGGATTCCTAGAGACATAATTTATTTTATTTTACTTGACCTATTAAGAAGCCACCACTTAACAATACAAAACCAGAAATTATCAGTAGTACTGAATTCTTTCCTCTCTTTTCTGCCCATGAAAAACCTTCATGGCCACATGGGAGGAAGTCAGACTCTGCAAGCCTCACCCCGGACAGAACATCACTTCGAGAGGCCATACTGACCTTATGCTCTGAATATGGAGGGAGCTGGGCTCACCTGCACTGAAAGGCCATTAACGTGCTAGTTTTTTTCACTCTATTTTGTTTAAAAGACAATGAATAGAATTTACACTTGGGGCTGACCCAGGCATGTGCCTGGCTACAAACTGAGACATGTGAGCCAAAGCAGAATGTGGAGAGAATGACAGAGCGGTGTCTCGGGGGGAGGTGATACTAGCAAAGCAGACACCCCAAGGAAGGGCCAGAAAAATGGTGGTGGGACATAAGCAGGCTTCCTGATGCTCTACATTTAGCCTGGAATTCAAACTCTGGGATCCAGATTGTCAGAGCTCAGGACACTCGTTAGCTATGGCAAAAAGGCAGCACATGCCTCGGGGTCGTTACTGAGTGAATGAACCCTGTTTCTATCATTCACTCAGCATGTACATGATACCTTATATTCTTTTTATTTATACCGTGTTTTTTTCTGTGAAATTTTGAAACAATAGCAAACTTACAGAAATGTTCCAGGGACAGTTCAAAACTGTTTTTCAGAGTCATTTGAGAGTAACTTCCCAATAAGATGCCCCTTCACACATGTGCACACATGGGTGCACACATACACAGACACACACTCACACGCGCACACCAGCACTTCTGGTGTGACCAGCACTCGGGCTTCACCGCCGTCTAATCCCCAGACCCCGCTTGGGTTCTGTCAGTTGCCTGAATAACTTCGTTTACAGAAAAGGATCCACGTGTCTCTCAGTAGCAGGCACTGAATGCAGTTGTCCTGTCCCTCCAGGCTCCCCCGCCTGGAGTGTTTCATCAGTTTTTCTTTGACACACGTGACCTCGACATTTTTGACGATCACAGGCCAGTTATCTGGCAGAATGTCCTTCAGTCTGGATTTGCCCGGCATGTCCTCATGGTTAGGTTCAGGTCACGGCAGCAGCGTCACCTAGGGACGCTCTGTTCTGCTCACCGAGTCCCGTCAGGCAGCTTCTGTCTCGGTTTGTCTGTCACTGGTGGTGCCACTTCGGTCGTCTGACTGAGACGTTGTTCACTGAGATTCTCCACTGTAAAGCTACTTTTTTTTTATAATTAGCAAGAATTTGGGGGAGAGGTACTTTAAAGCTGTGCAAAATCCTGTTTGTTATCAAACTTTCCATTGATTCATTAATGTTATTTATAACTATGTGAAGTCATCTTTCCTGTGTTAGTCCATGGATTATAATCAGGTACCGTTATTATTTATCCCGATGCTCAAGTTACCCCTGGTTTGGCCAGGGAGAGCCCGTTTGAGCTGATTTCTGCCTCCTCTTGACTTCCATCCCCATTGCCCTTGAGCACCTCCATGCTCTCTGGCACAGCAAGATGTTCCAGGTTCATCCCACTCCCCCCAGCCCTACCTGGAACCCATTGTGTCCCCAAGGAAACCTGGTTCCTTTCTGTGGAAAAGGGCCCTCAAAACCAAGAGCTGCCTGCTAGATATGCTCTATGCTACTGGGGTGTTGATGGTCCCAGGCCTTCTCAGGGGAGAGAACTAGGGAAGATATGGATAGATAGATAGATAGATAGATAGATAGACAGATAGATCAAGATGCATTTACATCTGTATTTATCTGTCCATGCACTGAACGTGATGGGCTCGCTAAAACCTCTGGTTCCAATCCAACACCATAGGCTCATGATGGCTTTCCAGGTTTCCATATTTGTAACTTCCTTCTCCAAGAGTGAGACACCAGCTTCTATCACCCCGAATTCATTTAGCTACCTGAGCAATACACCCACATATAAACAGTTCCCATCTCTGGCCCCATCCCCTCCACCGTGTGGACACCCACCCCTCCCTGCTTCAGCTGACCTCGAGGAGGTCCTCTTCATTCTGCTCTGGCTCTGGTACCCTCCTCCCAATCAACACTCTTCTCACACCACTGGGGCTCCAGCACCCCACTAGCCCACCCTCTGTGAGATATCCTCTCACCTTTCTCGGGTCCTCATCCCATTTGGGACCACTGTCACTGCACCCCTGACCCCACCACGGCTGCCTGTCATTCCAGGCTGCCCATCGTTCCCTGTCCATCCTAATGCCTTTGGGACCGAATTGTGTAAGAAGTAAAGAGAAGGGGAAAAGTGATGAAAGAGTGTCATCTATTTGAATTTTGTGAGGCCGAGGACCAGATCTTAAGTTTTTCTGAGTTCTGGAGACTTACTTAGTAGAATCTATAGGACTTCATGACCAATTAATTACAAAGAGAGAATGGGAGAAGAGGTAGAATTACATAATTCATTCTTTTAAAAGATGCAGACTGAAGGTCCCCTTCACAGGGAGGTGGGGCAGAGTAGGAGGGCTAAATACAACTTAACATATGTTTACTAACCGAGAACTATTTAGACAAACAGAATCAGCACCGCAGACCGTATGTGCTGGAGGAGCCGACCCAGTCCCTTTTGACAGACAGGAAACAGGTCTCCTCTTCTCTCTTCAAGATAAATTATGCTGTGAGCGCAGCCCTAGTGGTGGGCATCTTCATCGGGTTTCAGAAGAAAGCCTACACTTCTCCAAACAATCTTCCTGCCCTTGTCGCATTGCTCATGCTGTACGGGTGAGTTGTTTGAGCCTTTAGCTAAGGCCATCAAAAGGCAAGTCGGAGGGGGAGCATGATCTCCTGACAGAAAACTGGGTTTCTGGTGGCAAGGTTAGCTTCCAGCCCCCATCAGCTCTGCAGCCTGGCCAGAAGCCTGGCTGGCTTCTGTTTCTGAGTCCATGCACGGACGTGCTCCTGAGGCTCGGTGCACTCAGGGACGATGGAGATGCCCCACGTGGCCTGGATTTTCTTCCATTCAAACCATGGCTCAACCAACACCTGGGAATCTGTCACTCCCATCTCTCTCCCAGCTGTGATTCTGATTCGCTGTGGCCAGCCCATCCCTCTCGGTGTCTCCATCTATACTGGCCAAGAGTTCTTTGCAGCCAGCAGACGACTCCAGCTGAAAAGCTGTTCCTGAGTCAGGGCCGGAGATGTCACAGAGATTAAATTCAGTGGAACTATAGAGCAACACATGCAACTTCATGTCCAGGGCTACACATCCTATCTGTGTACCGTGGACACATCATACACCTCGTGTAGGCCTCAGTTTTCTTATCTGGCCCTTCCTGGGTGGTCCAGTACTCTTACCAGAGCAGTGGTCTCCATTTATCTCTAGGGAAAAGAGAATTTGGGGACCAGCCTGACTGTGGTGCATCAGCCCCAGGGAACTGTGAATGAGCCTGTTGGGACCTCAGTTCAGTTTGCTGATCCAGACTAGAGTGGAAAGCATTGAAGGGTAGACCGTGCCCCCATGCACCGTACAAGGCTTTACAATTTATGTACATTCACAGTTGCAAATGCCCCCATGAGATGGCCAGGGAAGGCATTACTATCTCAGTTCAAAGATGGGGAACAAAGATCAAGGGGTGGAGTATCTCTTTGGTCTTCCAGGGACTCTCAGCAGTTTAAACATTTCACCTCCTGTGTGAGGGAAGTGCATCATATCTAAGGGGACAGCAGCTGGAATAGAAATTGACGCTCCGTGCCACTGAGTTGTGCCGTTTCACACAGATGGGCAGTCATTCCCATGATGTACCCAGCATCCTTCCTGTTTGACGTCCCCAGCACAGCCTATGTGGCCTTGTCTTGTGCCAACCTGTTCATCGGCATCAACAGCAGTGCCATCACCTTCATCTTGGAATTATTTGAGAATAACCAGGTGAGCATGATGTTTTTGGCATCCTTGTCTGATGACTAGGACACTAGAGAATAGGTGCTGGCAAAGCAGAGCCACAGGCAAGTGCTGTCTCAACACGCCTTGTGCACAAATGAACCAACCTCCCTCCTTCCCTCCCTCCTTCCCTCCCTCCTTCCCTTTCTTTTCTTTCTTTGAACTCCTTGTTCCTGCTCATACTCTAGTGTCATGGTTCCCTGAGCTCATTCTCAAGCTATAAATGACTTTTCATTATTTTAATATTTTGGATTTTCTTACTCCTTCAAGGTTTCTTGAGGACTGCAGGTGTTAGGTTTTCTACACATACCAGAGCACTCATGTAATTTCAAAATTTAAAAGGAGCAAAAAGACATATAATGAAAAGTCTCCTTCCTACTCCTGTTTCTCAATCACCCAGCTTCAGAGGCAACCTTTCATTTGAGTTTCTCATGTGTTCTGGAGACATATAAGCAAATGCATATATATTCTTCCTCCACTTTCTTTTCCTTGAATTAATTAATTAATTTTTAGAGGGAGGGAAAGGAAGGGAGAAAGAAAGAAAGGGAGAGAAACATCAATGTGAGAGAGAAACATTGATTGGTTCTTCCTTGTACATGCTCCAACAGGGAGCCAAACCCATAGCCCCAGGTTGTGCCCTGACTGGGAATCGAACCAGAGACCTTTCGCTTTGCAGGATGACACCCAAACAACAGAGCTACACCAGTCAGGACTTTCCCTCCACTTTCTTATGTGAATTGTAACAGAGTAATATATACTATTTTACATAAAAATTAATCCCGAGGATAGGGTTAGGAATTTATGGCACTGAACGGGCCCTTGTATGACCTGTAGCATCCAGTTGTCCCACCCACAGCCCCCAGGCTTCTCTCTGCCCAGGGACAACTGGCCGGACTGGGTCACAACCACAGTGGCCGCAGCCGCAGGGCTGTCTGCGCTCCACACTTCGCTCCCAGCTGCTGTGCCCGAGCCCTGGCCGTGGCTGTCCTGGGAACTTCCCAAGGACTGCTGGTCTCGCCCGTGCGCCTGTCTCCCCAGTGGCCTGTGTAGCCTTTCCTTCCCTCAGGAGGCCTCTGCAGCTCCAAGGGTGGGCCCCAGCCAGCGCCTCTGCTATCCTGCGGCCCTGGTCCCCACTCCTGCTTCTGGGCTGCTGGGAGAACCCAAGGCAAGTCTGCACTCTGCACTAACCACCCAGTCTCATGGCTGACTGACAGCGATGCTTTCCAAACCATGTCAGGCTTTCTGTGGCCCCTCTGTGCCATGACTGATAACACGTATCCCATGTCACAGTCAGACCCCAGGGCAAGGGGGAGGAGAACACTGCCCCCCACCCCGACCACCCCACAGTGGCCGGAGCGTCCTGGTAGACTGACAGGGCTACTCTTCAGAGCTGTGTTTGTCGCAGGCTCACAGCTCACTCAGTCTGAAGAGTGTGTTACTTCAGAATAATTAAATAATACGCTTAAAAAACTCAAAACATTCTCCCTCCTGCCAGCTGCTCTCATTTAGCCAACATGTATTGAGTGCACCTTCCTCCCCTGCGTAAAAGCTGGTAGCTTCCACATAAGTTATCAGACAGATGCTGCAGAAATACCCAGTACCCCAGAGGAGGCTCCCCAGGTCCCAGTAGCTGCTGTCCCTTCTCAGTCAAGAGGTGTCAACTAAATGAACAGCACGTGATAGATGTGCCGATAGAAGCAAGCACGGCCTGCTCGCTCGAACTGTCCCTCAGAACTCCCCTCCCAGTCAGGGAATGACCTGCACGCCGAGTTAGGAACTGGTATAACTTCAGAACACTACATTCCATGTGACAGAACATCAAAGGAGCAAGACAGGTGAACGCCACAGGTCAGAGTGGACCCAAAAGAGCTGGGCTGCAGGGCTCTGGAGAATCTTTTTTTTTTTTAAGATTTTTCTTATTTTTTATTTTTAGACAGCGGGGAAGGGAGAGATAAAGGGAAAGAGAGAAATATCAATGTGTTGTTGCCTCTTATGCGCTCTCTACTGGGGACTTGACCCACAACCCAGGCGTGTGTCCTGAGTGGGAATTGAACTGGCAACCCTTTGGCTCGCAGGCCAACACCCAATCCATTGAGCCACACCAGCCCAAGCTGGCTCTGGAGAATATTGGTGGAGGAAATTCAGTTTAAGCCTGGTCCTGGACAAGCAGAACTTTGTTTCCCCATTTGGTAAACAATGAAGTGGCTACTATGAACTAATCATTGTACAAGGAATTTAGGAAGGATACCAAATGATTAGGACCCAGTCCCTGTCCTGCAGGGACGACTGACTAGGGGAGAAAGTAGGCAGGTAAAAAATAATTCACCTGGCAATGTGGAATGTGTTCTAAGAGAGGAGAAGGGAAGGTTTTACCATGGGAATCTGGAGAGGCTTATGCAGGAAGGGGTCACGAGAACCAGCTTTGTGAAGGAGGGTGTTCTTTCCTGCTAATAGCAACAGTTAATAGAAGCTGCAAGTGCAAATGCCCAGAGGCAAAGGGCAGAGTGCCTTTTGGGGAACAGTGGGGAGCAGGGGAGGCTGTGCTGTGGGGATGGGCCAGATTATGGGCAGCAATGGCCTCTTCAGCCTTGTCTCCACCATGTCCCCTCTGCCTTCCTGTGGGAGGCTCTGCCTGACACCTCAAGGCTAAGGCAGCAAGCACAGTCTGGGCACCCGAAAACAAGCCCCCCAACTCAGTGCAGACACCACAGAGAGTCTCTGCCTTCTTGCACACAGCCCAGAGGTATCCTGTGGGAGCCGAGCAACGGAGCTGGGCTGTGCTCCAGGGACCCTCTCCCCTTGGGTCGAAGCTGGGTGACAGTAATGGCTCACAGCTGTACCAAAGCAGAGAGAGCCCGGGTCACATTCCCAGCCGCTGCTGCATCTCCTGGAAACAAGTGACTTGGAGGGCTTGTGGGTAATTTCAGAACCCACAGTGAGCTCTCAAGGGGCTGCCTGTGAGGCTCCCAAAGAGGCACCTCCTATGAGTATTTCAGGACTTTCCTACTTTGTGACAAATCTCTCCTGTGGACAGTCTGGCTGCTAGGCCCCTCTGTCTACAGTCCTCCCCCTGGTCCTTTCCTGGGAGGGCATCCAGGCCCCACCCTGCTCAGGAGGGCACAGTGGGCTGGGCCCCCCTCCTGACCGCCCTGCTTCTCTGTGTTTCAGACGCTGCTCAGATTCAATGCTGTGCTGAGGAAGCTGCTCATCGTCTTCCCCCACTTCTGCCTGGGCCGGGGCCTCATCGACCTGGCGCTGAGCCAGGCTGTGACAGACGTCTATGCCCGGTTTGGTGGGTGGCAGTTGAGCCCAGTCAAGCATGGCCCTGGATGACCTGAAGCTGGGAGGGCTGAAGCAAGGGTTCCTAGGCCAGACCTGCGGCCTGGCCTGGGGGCACCTGGCTGGTGTGGGTTGTTCTGCTGACTACAAGGGCTCAGGGTGCCTCTGTTTCCTTGGCTGAGGAGCCACAGGAGGGTTTGAAGGAAGGCTCTGTTCTTCCCTACTCTGACCTGAGGAGCCAAGATGAGACTTGTGTTCAGCTTTTGCTTAATTCCTTGCATAAGGTCTGGTCTAGCTGAGCCACGTGTTGAAGCTAGGTCTTGGGGGCAGCTGGGCAGCAAAGTGGACTTAATTCCTATCACTTTCTGGTGGCCTCTGTCCCCAGGTGAGGAGAACTCTTCAAATCCATTCCAATGGGACCTTATTGGGAAGAACCTGGTTGCCCTGGCTGCAGAAGGGGTAGTGTACTTCCTCCTGACGCTCCTCATCCAGCACCACTTCTTCCTCACCCGATGGTACGTCCCTGATGCTGCCCAGAGGGTGTCAAATCCGAACGTGGCTTTACATCCATACAGTTGTCTTTTCCCTCATGAGCCCCACACCATGATGGTTTTTGCAGTCTCAAAGACTGGCTTGCTCTGAATAACTCAAGAAGAAGAGACACAGAATCAGCACGAAAGAATTTGTAAAGAATCTACACTTTAAAGTATTTAAAATACAATGCGATTAGTTTCAATCACTAGTATTTAATCCATCCTTTAATTAACAGGTACTCATTTTAAATTGGATGACAACGTTGCACATGATAACAGTTGAGAAGTATTCAGAGTACAGCTGTGTGTGTGCATTGTACATTCACAGAACATAGACAAAGGAGGACCCGTTGCTAATCAAAGATGTGAGAGTAGAGGTGGGGAGGGAGGGAGAAATATGGGGGTGATATGAGGTGAGTGCAGCCAGGAGCAGTGTGTGGGGTGCAGGGGCGATAGTGCCCCTCTCCAGGGTGGGGGGACAGCTGCCAACCCTGCTGTTCTTCTCCCCAGGTGCCTCATTCTAAGGTGGGTGCTCAGGTTTCTGGAAGAGGCAGCCCCTCTGCAATCCAAGCCGACACTGACAGGGCCCTCATTGTTTGTAAATTGTTTTAGATTTCATTTACTTATTTAGACAGAGGGAAGGGAAAGAAGGGAGAAAGAGACAGGGAGAAACATCAGTATGTGATTGCCTCTCATGCTCCCTCTACTGGGGACCTGGCCCACAACCAAGCATATGCCCTGACTGGGAATCAAACCAGCAACCCTTTGGTCCACAGGCCGGCACTGAATCCACTGAGCCACACCAGCCAGGGCCTGAGCAGTGCTTTGTTTCTTATCCTTCCCACATCTCAGGCTGAGTCTGGTCACACATAAATAAAGATTTGGAGAACTTGTTTTTAAGTTTTGATCCAGAGGGAATTGAGTTGTTAGAAATAAATCTGCTATCCTACTCAGAGGATTCTGAGAATTGAATGAAGTAGGAACTAGACTCTGGGCTTGAGCACTTGCCCCTTCTGCCGGATGCCTCTCCTCTTGGGAGTCCTTTGGAGAATTCAAGTCTCGGGGGTTAGGAAGCCAGGCGGAAGCAGTGGTGAGGTCATGGGAAGAAGCTGGGAAGAAGAGGACAGTTCTGAGGACACTGTAGACCAGCCCAGTCTGCCCCTTTCCCTCTTCCAGGATGGCCGAGCCCACTAGGGAACCCGTTATGGATGAAGATGATGATGTGGCTGAAGAAAGACAAAGAGTTGCTAGTGGGGGAAATAAAAGTGATATTCTAAGTCTAAATGAACTAACCAAGGTAAGAAAGTAGGTGTAGGTGTGTTCATTTGGCAGTGCCAGTGGGACCCAGAGACGGCACAGTGTTGTGAGTTGCCTTGTGCAGAGTAAGTGCTATGCCTGGGTGAGCAATTGTTTTTCTAATTTTATGTGGGCCTGTCATGTTTGTGTTGAGCTTGTGTTCCAACCTAGAATTCCAATGCACTTCCCTAGTATGCATCTTGGGTACTGACACAGGGCCTCATCCAGAGCCGCTACAATGGAGCCTCACTGACCTTTCTCTGGTCACCTTCTGCACAGGACCAGTTTCAAGATTTCTGGGGCTCATGGCACCTCTCTGAATGCCCTTGTCATTCTGTAACCTCTTCATGGAATTTTTGCTTGGTAGTTTTTGCTTAAGCCATTCTTTGCTCTCTCATGCCTTCCCTGCTCTACCCCTCTCTCAGTCCTTAGTCCAGTGTCTCTGCCCTCGCAGGTGTATTCAGGCACTTCCAGCCCCGCGGTGGACAGGCTGTGTGTGGGAGTCCGCCCTGGAGAGGTGCGTACACCGTGGGGCCCGTAGGCAAGGGCTGCAGAACAGCAGCTCCTGCGCGCACCTCTTCTCCCTCTAAGGACGAGCTACCAAACAGACATAAAACACAAGTCATCATAGGTCATTTCAACTTTTCTAGTAGCCACAGGCAAAAGGTAGAAACAGGTGAAACTAATCGTGATTACTTATTTTATCCAATATCTCTGAAATATTATCACTTCAACATGTAATTCATATAAAGCTTTGTTTACCAGGTGTTTTATGTTCTTTTGTTTGAAGTCTTTCAAACCCCGTGCGTGTCACACTTACAGCACATACCAGTCCAGACTAGGCACATCGTTAGTGCTCTGCAGCCACTGCAGGGGAGGAAAGCCCCCGTTCCCACTGCCTCCCAGGTTCTCGGGCCCTGTGAATTGTTCTGACAAAAGACAGATTAACGAGAGAGAAACAAAACGAAGTTTTTATCACATGCATCGCATATACTCCAGGAAACAAATGACTCAAATGGTTGCTTACAATACGGGCTTACACAGCATCTTAGCGAAGGAACATTAGACTGTTAGAAAGTGACAAGGCTGATGAAAGGACTTTGAGTTACCGGGGCAGCAAATATATGGGGAACTAATGGTAAATAATGGCCAGTTAGAAATATTTGATATGTAGTTCCTCCAGTGCCATCTCCAGGCTGATACGGGTCCCAAGTTGTCTTCAGTGATTAACCTCTGCCTTCCCTGGTAGACAGGGGAGGGAAAACACCTTGTAAATTTGTGTCCTGCTTTCAGGCAAACAGAGGAGGGCAGAGAGCTTTTCTTGCATCTGCGTCTTCTCAATTGCCTTCAGCTCAAAATCATCCTTATGCCAAAGTGGCATACTTAGGGTAGCCTATCCCTCTGCCCAGCACCACATGGAGCCAGTGGCCACCTAATGGAAGCACACACACTTTGCTCTAGGGCCTCATACTCCAGACCCTCTTGCGCTCTAGGGCCAGGCCAATTCTGTGTGTTCCCCCTCAGTGCTTCGGCCTCCTGGGAGTGAACGGAGCTGGCAAAACAACCACTTTCCGGATGCTCACTGGGGACACCACAGTAACCTCAGGCGATGCAACTGTAGCAGGCAAGAGGTAAGTGTCCTGTTCGTCCCATCTCAGGGGTCTCTCATAGGGCTGGACCGTGCCCCCGTCCCAGCACAGGGAGGGTGAGTGTCAGGCCCTCTGTCTGAGGGTGACTGAGAGCCTGAAGGTCTGTGCAGAGGGGTGGACCTCCCAGTGCGCACGGTCCACAAAGTCTAAGATATAGACCTTCTAGAAAAGTGAACAGAATTGTGATTGTTAAGAGATTCCTCTGTTTGCATGGATTCTCAGAAAGTCTGGGATGTGCTAAGTCAGTGGTTTTCACTCTTTTAGTGTCATGGACTCCTCTAAGCATTTGATGAACACTCGTACCTTCTTTCTATAAAAACACACCATTGTCCCTCATTGCCTCCCTCTACATATTTTTGCAAAGAGTTTTGGGGAATTTACTGAGCCATGAAGCATATTTATGGCCCTGCAGGACCCCTGGGCCCCAGGTTGAGAACCCCTATTATGAAGCATCCTGTCTCTGAGCTTCTAGATGGGGTTAGGTTCCAGGGTCTGTGGGGCCTGCATTGCCTATTTCTGTGCTGCTGCTTGCTGCCAGGCCACGGAACCTTTATGAAAGAAAACCGGGCATGTGCCCTTGGATTCTGGAGGGTGTCTTCTGCTCTTTTTAATAAGGTGTAAGTAAACAGACTGGTCCTCTATGGGTACAGGATGGAGAACAGGAGCTCACACTTGTTCCCCTTTTTCCAGCGGCTCCTTGAGTAGCAGAGTTCACACATATTAGATGTGCCCAGAGAAAATCTACACCCTGGTTTATACGCAGAGTTAGGCACTGTTCCTGTCTGCCCAGCATTTGCCTGACTGGGGCCTCATCAGCTAAGAGCCATCCTCAACACGGCCCAATGCTCGCTGGGCAGGGGAAGTCCTGAGCATGCTTCACTGGCTCAGACAGGATGAGTCTGGTTCCTGTGCCTTCCCCAGTCATCCCTGTTGGGTCCAGAGCAAAGGGACTGGCAGGGGTGGAGGGGGACCTATCTCGTCTGCAGATCCAGCTCAGCCTACAATCAAGCAAATGACTTCACAGTGGCAACAAAAGAGTCTTAGGAGGCAGGGTGCAGAGGACAGGGGGATGTAATGGGATTTGTAATGAAATATCAAGTTGCAGTCCTAGTGAGACACAGTTTGATGCTCGGAACATAAAACCAAGATGGAAGCTAAAAATAAACTACAGGTTTAAGACACAGGATTGGGGTTCTCTGGTTGGGAAGCTTCTGTGAATTTCACAAAATATACTCCTTCCTTCCCTGGGTGGTTTTAATTGGCCCAGCCATAACTGAAGTCATTTTTGTTATAGTGAGGGACTGTCAGGGTGGATGGCCTCTCTGTCCCATCCCTTTGCATCCACCCTTTACTCATAGACCCTGAGCCGTATGGGAAAGGGGAAAGAGATTAGACCAGTCTGTGGACAGTTTGTTTTTTCATCAAGGCAATGTATTTCCTAGTGGGAGCAGATGTATTAGTCAAAGAGACTTGAGAGAACTCATTTCACTTCATCTCTTCTCCCTGCCAACCCCTTGCTCTGGGAGGGGGCTGATCTGTCTGGTTCCTGTTTCATTACCTATATCTCTGCCAGTAAATACAGAGGGAGAAGTTTACCATCATTGGGAAGCATGTTTCTTCTCTAGCTACTTCCCAAATGTCTTAAAGAGATAAAAAAAAATCACTGTTCAATTTCTTAAACCTGATCTTCCCTTTGTTTTTAAATTAATATGTGAGGTGATCCAATCCAAAACCAAAGCTAATTTGGGTAATGGGTATTCAATTTTCCTAACTAGGGAAACTGCAGGGGATCTGACTGGATTAAAGCTCAGAACCCCTGAAGCCTGTGAGTTTGTGGTCAGAGGGCCCTGCTTTGATGGTTCAATGTTGCACACATTTCTGAAGCCAAGCAGGGGAAGAGAAGAGGCAGCTTCCATGTCCTGTTGGCCGATGCTCCTCCAGCCCCAGCTCTGTGGTCACCCCCTCTCTGAAGGAAACTTGCTAACTGCTTTTTCTTGTTGCAGTATCTTAACCAATATTTCTGATGTCCATCAAAACATGGGCTACTGTCCTCAGTTTGACGCAATTGATGAGCTACTCACAGGGCGAGAGCATCTTTACCTTTATGCCCGGCTTCGAGGTGTACCAGCAGAGGAAATCGAGAGGGTAAAAAGTGGTTTGATCTGGCAACTTAGGAATTTGGTAAACCATAGGCTATTTCATAACAGTGCAGTTATTTAAAGATGGGAAGGCTGTAGAATGCTATTCATTCATTCATTCATTCATTTATTCATTCAATAAATGCTTACTGGGTGCCTGCTATATGCCAAGGACTGTTCTAAAAGTGGGGTATAGCAATGAACAAAACAGACAAAAATATCCCTGCCTTCATATCCCAAAAAACAATGTATGTCTTTGTCCCTTCACCCAGAATCCCACTTCTGGGAATTTACCTTGAAGGTAGGCCTCCTACAGTACAAAATGCTTAAGCACAGAGTTGGTCGTTGCATTTTAGTTGCAAAATATTGGAAGTTAATGTTCATGAATAAGATTTTCATTGAATAACTTATAGTTCATGCATACAATAAAGCCTTAAATCACTGTGAAGTGGCATAGGGTTATTTCCAAGAGATATTTTCAAGTAAAAAAAAAAAGCAAAGCAGAAAAAAGAACATGATGACACTTGTTATGTAAGAAACTAGGAAAATAAGAAAAAACACAAGTCTGCTTATCTTTACAAATAGAAAAGATAAGCCAGAAAACAGTAAATTTCATCACGAACAAGAGAGAACTGGGTATTAGGAAGTGGGACAGAGTGACACTTATCCGAGTACATCTTTTTGTATAGTTGTGACTTTTGGAAGCATGTTAATATTCTACATATTCAAAAAATAAAACTAAATAAGAATGGAAAGGGGGTAAGAATGAAAACAAAAAGAAAATCCTAACACTGAAAGCAAACTGAAACAAATTCAATTTTATTTCAAATAAATATTACTTGCAGAAGGGGAGGGAAAGAGCTAATACCAATAACTGGTGTCACAGGACGTGACTGTATCTCCTCAGTCTCATGAGGAGCAGGGGGAAAAAAACCACAAACAAATTCTGAGCTCTTTTCAGCTTGTTTATTTTTTATGGTGGTGTGGGCAAAGCAGTTCTGCAACAGTGTAGCTGTGTTTTAGGATTAAGTAAATGAATAAATGTGTTAGTGTTCTTGGGAGCCAGAATTTTCACTGCAGAAAAGGGGCATACAAGTATGGAAAGGCAGAAAGCGAGAAATTACCCTGTGGGGATGGATTGGAGTTAGAGATATCACTACGCACTCATGAAATATTCATATGCACGAGTTTGGGCATGCATGCATAATGTGTTCCAGCATGTCACACATAGGCATGTGCATGTATGTGCACTTGTGTGTGTGTTTGTATGTGTGTACAACTGAAAGGATTAAGAAGAAAAAATATCCCAGGGGCATTGAGCACAGTCAGTGCCCACAGTTTGATGTCTAATACCATTGCCTACTAAAAGAAACTATGACTTCAAACAAATGACACATTCCAGGTCTGGGACAACATCGATATCAAATGAGCTGGGAAAGTCTTAGGCCAGAAGTAAAGAAGTGCGTAGGGAAAAGCAGTGAAGGCATGTCACAAATACACAGGAGCCGTCCTGAAGGGGCTCCCAATGGCCATAGGTGGGACAATGTGAGCATCAAAATAATTAAGTCCCATGATAAGTTATAAAACACCAGGGGATAGGAATTCATAAGCCAATGTTATTAAATAGATAAATACACAAACAGAACAGAAGGGAGCGTTCTTGCTTGCAGTCAAATACCGAGAGACAAGTAGTTATGTGGAAGAAGTTATAGAGCTGGAAGATCATTTTGCAACAATTATAGTAAAGACTGGATTACAAAAGAATCATCAACAGTTGCTAAATCTAGGGGTAATTTTTTTATGAGAAGCAAGATATTTGTGTGGTTTAATATATCTTCCACAGGGTGCTTATTGGTTGTGAGGGGGAGGCATAATCATTTCACAATGGAGAAATCAGACAACGCCTTCACTGGGTCAGCATCACCTGAGAGGCAGGAGGATCTCTCCCGCCCCCAGAGGCGGATCCTGAGAAGGACACAAGTTCACTGATGGGATATCATTCTGACTGGGAATATATAAACCTGCATGTTATCATGAGGAAAATATCAGATAAACTCTAAAGAAACATCCTATTTTAAAAAGTACAGGGGCTATATTTTTCAAAAGAATCAAAGTCATAAAAAAAAACAAAGAAAGCAAAGGCTATAGAAATGTTTCTGATCACGGAAGGCTAAGTAGACACAGTGACTGAACAGCGGGCGCTAGACTGCATCCTGTGCTGGAGAGAAGGTGATGCAGCAAGGGACACTACTGGGCCCATCAACAACCCTGGCCTATGGACGGTAGATCACATAACAGTACAGGGACAATGCTGAGTGTACTGACATGTATAACTGGATTGCAGTTATGTAGGAGAATGCCTTATTCTTAGAAAATAGACACAAGTATGTAGGCATGAAGGGGCCATGATGCATCTTTGGGTCTGAAAAAATAGTGCATATGTAAGAGCAGGAGAGAGAAAAAGTGAGTAAAGGTTTTACAAGTGTTCTTTTTTACTATTCTGATTTTTACACATTTCTGTAATTTGAAACTGTTCCAGGGAAAAAGTTGAAAAGTGGAGCTTACATTATAGTGGAAGGGACAGGCAATACATAGATATACAGTGTACTTGTGAGCGAAAAGTCTTAGAGGAAAGATAAAGCAGGGAAGAATTGTTGGGGCGGGGCCTGTACATTTAGGTAGGGTAGGGCAGCCCAAGGAAAGCCTCACCCGGGGGTGAACTCCAAGTGGAGACACGAGGGAGCTGAGAGCGGGGCCATGTGGATCTAGGGGAGGAACATTCCAGGCACAGGCCCAACTGTGCAAGGCTGAAGCATGGTGGGTTTATCCAGCGACTTCCTTAGTTTTATTGCTGAGCACATGTGTGTGCATTTGCATCACACACACACCTGTTACTCTCCATCATAGTTCCTTGTTGAGCTTCCTCAAAGCACCATTATAATCTGTCATTATTCTGTTTATTTCAATTGTTTCACCACCCCCACCTGTGAGTACACGGTCAGTGACTATGTTCACCATTATTCTCCAGTGCCTAGTGCAGAGCCTGGCTCACAGCGGGTGTCCAGTAAATATACATTTGATGCATAAGACCTCAAGTGTGACCCTGTTGAGGGGTGGAATCAACAAAACCCACCATCTTCACAAACAAACCCTAGGCCTCTTCCTCTTCTCCGAGCCATTGTCTGGGACCCTGGGGAAGAGCTCTGTCCTGCTCTTTATAAGGCTGAAGCCCATTTCTCAGGGGGCCGCACCCACTGGGTGCTGAGCTGACCAAGCTGGGATCTAAGGCACAGAGTGGAAAGGAGACATCTGGTCCTCGAATCATGTCCAGAGAGCACGAGCCATCAGGTGGTGCTGCTTCCACTGAGCTGTCACCCTAGTTGTGTGAGATCTGGGAGCTCAAGGCTTTGAACTGGTGGAGACCTGGGGTGTTTGCTTGTCTTTCCCAAATGGGATTCCTTTCTCTTCCCTAGGTGGCAAACCGGAGTATTCAGAGCCTGGGCCTGTCTCTCTACGCGGACCGCCTGGCTGGCACCTACAGTGGGGGCAATAAGCGGAAACTCTCCACAGCCATCGCCCTGATCGGCTGCCCACCGCTGGTGCTGCTGGTGAGGCACACCGTGACCTGTGGGGACAGGCCGGCCCGGGGGTTGGAACCAAGAGATGCATCTCTGTGGTTGGGCTAGCAGATTTAGAAAATGCAGTCTGTTTCAGCTGGACTGTTCCATATAGTGCTCGTTTTGAGGAAATCAGCCTAGCTCTTGGGGGATACTGGATTCACAACAGATTCTCACTGAGTTCCTGGGAAGTCTCTTGTGGGGCCACAGGCTCACAGCAGGGAAATTCAGCCCCTCTGCAGAATGTCAGCATCTGCTCAGAAATTGCTACTGCCAGAGAAGGCCTCTGTGGGATCTGTAGTGGACAGGAGCATTCGTCTGGATCAAAGGTTCATGTGACTCTCACTCAGAGCTGAGACCCCTGTGCTCGTAAAGTCCGGGGTTCATGAGTCCCTGGGTCGCAGGACTTGGAAGGAACCAGAAAAGTCACGTAAACTATATCCTTGCCTCCTTGCCAACGTATGACATTTAGGGATTTTTTTGGTTTGCACATTTGTTTTTAAAGGTAATTCTGCCTTTGCCTTAATCAACTTTAACCCACGTCTGAGATGAAATGGGTCTAGAGGTGTGCATGATCTGCTTTAACTCTCCCAATTTGCCACCTGCCTTCCATACTCTGTGCCTGGGTACCCCGAGTCTCACTCTGCTGGGGAATGACTTTGTGCATTGTTTGCCAGAGATAGTGCTCAGAGGAAGTCAACCATGGAGGCTACAGTAAGCCAGGCCTCTGCCCTCTCTGCCTCCCACAGGATGAGCCCACCACAGGCATGGACCCCCAGGCACGCCGCATGCTGTGGAACACCATCATGAGCATCATCAGAGAAGGGAGGGCCGTGGTCCTCACATCGCACAGGCAAGAGATTCCCAGGGGCTGGGGTGGGGCAGGCAGGTGGGTGGGAGTCCCTACCCCTCACCTCCCCTCTCCCACCCTGCAGCATGGAAGAATGTGAGGCCCTGTGTACCCGGCTGGCCATCATGGTGAAGGGCACCTTTCAGTGTCTAGGCACTATTCAGCACCTCAAGTACAAGTAAGGAGGTGGCGGGGCAGAGGGTGCCTTGTTACCTTTCTGGGAGGGTCAGGGCTGGTCAACCAGGCCCTGTGCTCTCTACTGACACTTGAGAGGGTCCCGCTGCCCCTTCACCCCATGGGCAGAGGCAGGTGGTGTCCTGGCCTCATTCTGCGGCAGCAAATGGAGAAAGCCATTGTACTGGAAGAAACTCTCTATACTGGGTTAAGTGCCTGAGGGTGAAGGCTCTACAAGTCTCCAGATGGAGCATTCTGATTGGGGCATTGCAGAGCCTGGATGGGGTGAGGGGGATCACCATCACTGCCTCATTATCCTACCACTTATCCCAACAAATCCAGGACCGATGACCTGCCTAGTAAGAGCTCACAACCAACTTAGGAATGATTAGGAAACCAAAGAGCCTGAGAATTAGTTTTCCTTTCTGGAATGTTACATGCTTTTGAGTTTGAGAAATGACCATGTATTATAAAATGAACCAGAAATGCCAGTATATTGTAAATTATAAACTGCTGTAAATATGTGATATTAATAATGGTTTCTCTGCCAAAGCTGACAGTTAAAATAAGATTATGACAACACCATGCTCCCTTGCATTCTGGTATGCATTATAAGCCAGGAAGGGTGGATTTATAATTATCACTTATTTGTTTAACAAATGCTTTTTGCGAGCGTGGAAGAGTCGCCATGCTAGTGGGTGGAAGGACCAGCACACAGCTCACCTCATCTGTGCTGAGAGGTGCCCAGGGGACAGTGGTGCCAGCATACATCATTCTGACGCGCATCAGGGTCAATTAGTGGTTGAGAGAGAGGTCCGGTAGATTAGCTGCATTTGGATATTTGACCCATGGTTTCTTGAGCTATTACAGCTCAAACACTGCACACATATCTAGGGGGACTTCTGCATGTCACCCCACCTGCGTCAGCAACCTCCTCTATCAGCTGCTGGAGACATGACTGTTCCCTCCTCCTTTCCCGAGCACACTGCAAGGTCCCCACAGAGAGCATGTGAGAGGGAACTGTTCCTTGTGTGGGAAGACTGTTTGCCAGAGCTGGAAGGCAGAGGCACTGTATTGTAGAGGGGAGTGACTGCCCCTTGATCATGGAGGGACCACTGGAGTGAGTTATAACTGACACTGTTACACCGGCATGCACGTGCACAGGGAAGCCAGCTGGCCCTGCCCACATTGTGGTGGACCATTCTTTCTTCACCTGGTGAGGGGAGGGGGGAAGTACCTGGCCCTGGCAGCTCCATTTGTTTTGGAAGCTTCCACAGGGAAGTGCTGCCTTTCCAAGCTTTTGCTCCCACCTGGCCAGCCACTTAAAGGGCCAGGCAGCCTTTCCACCACTGAGTGAACACTGGCCCCACCCGCCTTCATGGGCAGGTCTGTGATCTCTGCAGGCAGCTAAGCCCACCTTTGACTTCAGCAGGTATATGAGAGGCAAAGGCACAAGCAACATCCATCTCTGCCCCAGGAGGTGGACACAGGAAGCTGTCATGGGTCTGGTGACCCACTTCGCCACACACAGACATTCAGACTCTAAAAACTAGGATCAAACTATTTCTCCAGGAACTATCATGGGTTTTCCTCCCGTTTTAAACATGCCCAAGAGGTTTATAGTGTGGCTTTTAATCCTCAATATTTTCGATGAGTCTGTTCCTTATTTTGGGATTGCCTTAGAACCAACTACTAACAGGCCTGTTCCACGCCACCATGGGCATCCCCTAGGTTTGGGGATGGCTACATCGTCACAATGAAGATCAAGTCCCCGAAGGACGACTTGCTCCCAGACCTGAACCCCGTGGAGCAGTTCTTCCAGGGGAACTTCCCGGGCAGCGTGCAGAGGGAGCGGCACTACAACATGCTCCAGTTCCAGGTCCCGTCCTCCTCCCTGGCCAGGATCTTCCGGCTGCTCATCTCCCACAAGGACAGCCTGCTCATCGAGGAGTATTCGGTCACACAGACCACACTGGACCAGGCAAGCCCCAAAGGGGCCAGGCACAGAGCAGGGCTGTGCAGAGACCGGGCTGGACGGCCCGAGCTGGGCTGGGACCCCCACCACAGAGAGGCAGGACACGCCTGGGTTTTAACCCTCTGGTCCATCTGTCTATTAGGGTAAAACTCTGCCTATCAGGAAGTGCTGTCTAACACTATTTTAATCATCAGTACATTTCATTCACTTTACATCATCCTTCCCCACTACGTTCTGACTTTATTTCATCCTTTCTGATTTGTGGTGTTGACTTTTTTTCTTTTTCAAATCAACTTTATTGATACTTAATTTGCATACAATAAAATGCACTCATTTAAGGTGTACACTTAGATGAGTTTTGATAGCAGGTACTTGTATGCCATGTCAGGTTTTAAAATGTGGTTACTTTTTATTGTGGTAACATACACCTGACATAATGACCTATTTTAAGTGTCCAGTTCGGTGGCATTAAGTTCGTTGTGTGACCATTGCCACCACCGATCACCAGAAAATTGTTCATCTTCCCCAGTTAAAACTCGGTGTCATTAAATAATCCCCCCCACCCCCAGCCACTCTTAACCACTGTTCTCCTTGATGTGGGCTACTGCACACAGCCCATGTAAGTGGGACTATCCAGTATTTTGTCCCTTTTGTCTGGCTTCTTTCACTTGACATTATGTCCTCCAGTTCATCCATGCCATAGCACATGTCAGAATATCCTCCTTTTAAAGGCCGATTAATATTCCATTGTAATATATAACGTGTTTTATCTATCCATTCATCTACTCAGACATTTGAGTTGTTTCTGGGGACGGGGGATTGTTGCTGTGTGTTTGTTTTGAATAGACGTTCTTAAAGTCTGTTCAGTAAAGCAGCAGAAATCAGCAAGCCTCCGCTTATCCTCTGAGGAGCTGGCTCACCGGCACCTTCTTCTCAGCCTTAAGCAGATGATGGAAGGAGCAGGAGTTACAGCTGCACTGCACATTGAATAAAGCACAGAGGAGAGATGAGATCGAACTCCTGTTTTGATTTTAGTTCAGAGAGTTAGAAGGTGCTGCCACTTGAGATCGGCCTTGCCTGTACACCCCATAGGAGCTCCGTTGGCTTAGCTCCAAACCCTAACGAGCCCCTTCCTGGTGGCCAGGCTTCCTCGGGGGCAGCCAGCCCTCTGCAGGATGCAAGGTCTCCATCAGGGCCATGTATTAACTGTGGGAAAGAGAAAGCAAAGTGGGTAGGTGTGGAGGCTACCATTTTTCTGGAAATATACCTCTTCTTGCTCTCTTCTTGCCCTCAGGTATTTGTGAACTTTGCTAAACAGCAGACTGAAACTCACGACATCCCTTTGCACCCCCGCGCCGCTGGAGCCAGCAGACAAGCCAAGGTACTGGCGCCCTTTCACAGTGCTCTGCTCAGACCCCTGGGCGTGGGCCACAACAGGGCTCCGACTTGCCTCCCGCAGAGCGCTCCGCCCAGCCACAGCTCTCCTGGCTGCCACCTGTCCTTTCCCCCAGTTCTGTGCTAAAGGACTTTTCAGTCCGTAGTGGTGCGGGTTCCTTTTATAATCAGAAAACCATTTGGATGGCATGGGGGAGCATTTTTAAAAAGGATTTTCCCCCATGTTTTTGCTTACAGCAAAAGGAATTTAGATTTGGGGAATGAGAAGCAGGGAAATAGGAGAGCATATAAAAACATCTTGATTGTTGCGCTGTTTGACATCTATGTCCAGTCATGTGCTTGAGTTTCAAAGGAAAGGAATTAACTGACACCTCATATCAATGGTGGACACATTTGGTTAGAGCGAAGGTTACTGTCTGTTTTAGGAAGAGGGCTCTTTGTTCTCTGTAAAACTATCAAGGTGATAGAGGAAGAAGCAACAGAAGGTATGCATCTAGCCTGTGATAACTCACAGGATAGGTGCTTCTAGGTTCCTGCCCTGGCATGGTTGCCCAGCCCCTTGTAAGGAGCACCCCCACCCACCCCTCTCCCAGGCCAGAGGTGGGGGAGGGGGGAGGGGAGAGAGAGAGCAAGCTAGAGTAAGTACTGCAGGAGGCACCAGGATCCAGGTGCCTTGGTTTAAGCCTGGGATTACAAAGGGACAAATTAGTAATTCTCTCTACCATGAAGTGTAAAGTAAATCAAATAAAATCAAAGCACTTTTCAATCAGCAAAGATGGGCAAAACTTTATTTCCCATAAAATTCTCATTCCTTTCACCAGTTTCTTAATTGCAAGAAAAAACAAATACTGCTAATGACTGAAACACCGTATTCTAAGGTCATGTTTATGATGAATTTTCCCCCTTCCTTTTGACTAGGAGAGACCTAATGGCTGCTTGGTAAGGTTGACTTTGCCCTCCGTCTCCCCAGAGGGCCCAGGCATGTCTAAGTAAAGGTACTGGTCCAGGGAAAGTTACTTATGCTAAGATTTTCCAGCCACTCTTTCTCATATATAGGTCTTGAACTTTGTTTACACCTATGGGAAATTATTCTTTGAAAGCCATTTGTAGTTATGAATGTTTTTATAACTCAGAATACATTATGAGGTAGTAAAAGTGTCGCCTATAACTGCCAATGTTTTTCCTATACCCACCTGGCATATTCTCTCTTAAAGGGCTAATACCATCTCTGGGCCAGGCGAAGGGGCTGATGGTCTAAGATCTATATAGTAGTTAATTTCAAACCTGTCTTCTTGGCTTTTAAGTCAGAAAGAGCCTAGTCACTTTCCTGGACTACAGAGCAAACCTACAGACCCCACAGCAGCCTTGGGAAAGCACTGAGAGGGTGCAGCTGGCTTCCCTCTCAGGAGTAAGCACGTACACACAGAGAGACTATGAGTCTTCATGATGTCTGCACTGTAGAGCCAGAGACCTGAGGGGTCATCTGGCCCAAAGTTTTCATACACATGCAAACAAGCATAGCCCATAACCTCGGGGATCTGACAGAATCACAGTGCCCTTGGCTGAGCTTCTTCCAGTGATTAATTGATGACTACTTAACTTTTAAAATCAAAAAGCCATCACACCATCTCTTCAGAAAACCAAGATGGCAAAAGTCTACCTGTTCTCTCTATGCAGGTCTGATCTCCTTCCACACTGCTCGCTCGCTGCAGCCAGAAGTGAACTCCGGGCAGTGGGAAGTGCAGGAGCCTTTGCCGTGTGGTCATCCAGTCCAAGCAGCCCGCATAAGTGAAGCCCTGGCGCAGAGTCACACACACGTGGGTCACTCGGAAAACGCCAAAGGGGCTTTTCCAGGAGGAAGCCGACGCTGACTGGTTTGCCTGGGACACCTGATGGTGAAACTGGCCACCAAATGAATGCAAAGCCCTTTTCATCCAGACCACAGAAGTAGAAGTCCCAATTCATCCTACCGGTAGCTTTGCTCTCGATATCATTCTCACTTGAGTGGACCTGCTTTTCTCTGTGTGTATGTGTGTCTGTTTTATTTTTTAAAATAAAATAACATGCAAACACAGTTATCACACACTAGCCAGTGTGCACCATCTGGTACTGTTTCAGACATGATCTGTGCCCGTGCAGCTTCCTGTCCTTGCTCGAGCTTCCGTGAGAGTGATTGCCGCAGAGGTGCCAGTCACAGCAATATTCTGCCCCTCTGGGGTGGGAGTGAATGGACTAGTCTTGATGTTGCGTGCCAAGTCTGCTTTATAGGGTCTGAAGAAAACGCCCAGTTGGCACTGCATGTGAACATTGTCCATTGTTAATTGGGTGTTATTTGAACCTAGGTTTCACATCTGTTTGCTCAGCTTATTTGAGTGCCTACCTCATAGGTATAATTAAGACAGGAGAAGAGGCAAGGACAGGTGAGAGTGGATCTTTGATTGGGTATGAGATCCAACATGTCTTTGTAACTCTTTAAAGATGCCAGGCCTCATTCGTACAGAGCCGTGCCTTCCCCACAGTGCTGACGTGTGTACCTTCTGCAGTGACAATATGGAGCAGTGGTTCACAGGATAGCTCATTGTTCACATAAAAGCTCATCAAGAATCAAAAAACAATGGTTTTGAACCAAACCATTTCAAATGGCTCGTGGACAAGGAGAACTGATGGACTCTCTGGCCAAGACAGTGCCCTCTCCACATGCCACAGACGGGCTTCCGGGTTCCAACACGCTCTGGAGCAGTGCCTCCGAAGCACGTTGTACCACGGCTGTACTCCAGGGCCCGGGGTGGGGGCAGGGCAGGAGAGGGGAGAGGGAGGGAAAGCTGCTGAGACCCAATACCTGCACCTGAGAAGGGGACATGGCAGAAAGTGAGCACAAGGTGCTGGCATTTCCCTGAGGAAGGAGAGCGCTGTCTTTCTCCGGAGACAGACGGAAGGCCAGGGCTACACAGTTTTTACTCCCGCATAGCTAGTGGCTGGCTGCTTTGTAAATAACTAGAGAGTATGCAAAACTAGTAGCCTCAGAGCTTAATTTTGTTTTGACTTAAAAAAAATACCTATCAATGACCAAAACCATTTTAACTAGAGTCGGAAGAGGGTTTAGGAAAGCTCAGGAGGGGGCTATTGATACTCAGCATAATGCTATTACATCCTGGCTGGTTTGGGAATTTAAATTTGTAACTACAACATCACAGGGACACAGGCAAAGCAGGGAGCGGGGTCCACTGTCATTCTTGGCATGGTGGGTTGTGAGGGTTCAGAGAGGCATCATGGACTGGAAAGAGCCAGGTACGGGTGATGTCTCACCCTGCCTTTGGGAGGAAAGCTCAGTTTTGCTGTCTGTCCCCACTACACGTGGGCTCTCCAATAGCAAGGTCTGTGTCCTTTTTTGTCATTTCCCCCGGCTCCTGCCACACAGAAAACATTCAACAAACACCAAGTTCAGCACTATAAAAATCCAGCAAAAAATATACAGAAAAGAAGTAGGTCCGATAAAATGATGCCTTCAAAAAGCCCAAGACAGTGGTGAACTGCAAGCGGAGCCTCAGCAATGTCATGCTTTAAAAATTCACAGTCCAAAGCATAAGCAGGGAAAAAATCAAGGAGGAGGAGGCCATTTGCTTGGGTTTGAGGAGTATTCAAGTTGGAAGACTGGCCCAAATCTCCTCAGAACAGGCTAGTCTATTAAAAGACCTCCCAATCTGTTTCAATAATGGAGATTCACAAAGAAGAGGAGGGAGAAATGGAGTCAATTCAGAAAATAAGACCACTCAGAGGATGTTCCAGAAATATGGCTTGCTGTTAGGTTTTCTAAGCTTCTGGTTCTTCTTCGGGGAGTTCAAGGTTTTGGAATAGCTAGAATCAAAAGAGAATATCTTGCCATGACCGATGTGGGTCAGATGGAGCATCATCCTGCTACCAAAAGGTGCAGGTTCATTCATGGTTGGGGCACATACCTGGGTTGCAGGTTTGACCCCCCGGTCCAGGCGTGCATGAGAGGCAACCCGATGCTTCTCTCTCGAATCCATGTTTCTTTCTTTCCTTTCCTCTCTCTGTAAAAAGCAATGAAAAAATGTCCTCAAGCAAGGATTTAAAAAAAGAGAGAGAATCTCTTACTATGACTAAAAAGCTCTCAGAGACCTTCATTTGTGCCTGCTGCTGTGGCTTAGGAAAGATGGAGGGAGAGGAAAGTAGGGCAGACGACAGGCCAGCAAAGCTCTGGGCTTGGGAGAAAGGGTCTCTGCGACATCCTGGGTACTTGCACTGGGGTCACTGATGAGGAGGAAGTCCTGCACCAGCAGGCCTTTGGGGATCTTGGAGAAAAGAAGATTTTCCCCTAGAAATATGGTGGCATCACCCTCAAGGGATTGCCGCTTCAAACACCAGAAGGACTCAGCCCACTGCGCCCAGATTATTTGGGCTTGGTCTCCTCATGATAATTCAATGCCTCACTTGGTAGGTCACCGAGATGAACAGTTTGAGTCTAGTAAGCTCACGGGGCAGAATTGCTACCACATTTTGTTTAAGGTGGTTGTCAAGTTTGGAAAAGCTTAAGTACTAGAAGTTTCAGATTCACAAAACCACAGGCTTCTAGAGCTAGAAAATATCTTAATTTTAAAAAATCTAAGCCCATATATATTTGCTTTGCATTGCTTTAATAGGAAAAAAAAAACAAGTCTCAGAAAGATTAATTTACTTGGCTGTCCATTTAGCCTTCCCTGTAGGTTCTAGCTGGTCCTCCTCCAATTTCTTCACTCCCAAGATCAAAGAGACATGCCCACCAGACCCAGGACTCAGGAATTCCCTGCCCAAATTGTCTACAGCCTGCTTTTTGGGCCCATGTGGGCCCACTCTTTCTTGAGTGAAAGTTGGTCCTTGATCATGCAGGTTCATGTCTACACATGGCATGTGAGGCCCCTTGGAAAACCACGAGAGGGATGGAAAGGGTGAGCCATGAGATGGCTGGTTCTGCACATACTGGATGACATGGAATTTTCATTTGACCCGTTACTAATAACATTATCTTTGATGACTTCATTATTGAGATATCTGTCAGACTTCTCCACTATAAAATACTTTCTCCCTCTATAACTAGTAAGTATTTTGTAGAGATGCATTTTTGAGACTATGTAAATCATGCCATTTCCCTTCAAACACAATATAATCATTTATTTACATCTGCAAGTATTCAATGTTTCCTATTTTATGCAATGGATTTACTATATTATTTATTTTAATACTCAATTTGTCTGTGATTTAAACAATGGAAATCCATTAAGCTGATTTCTGTGTCATTGTTACATTTCCCATCATTCTTTGAGCACTTCCTTGCTTTCTGGCAGAACAAGACATTTCAGGTTTATGTTGTCATTTCCGCAGCTGAAATCAACCATCTCCCAAGGAGCCCTGGTTTCTTTTAGGGAGTATGTTACTGAGAAGCCAATGTCTAGATTCTCTCAATAGACAGGTAGAGCTTATACATGTATGAATATGTGGATAATTAGATAGATAGCCACTTACCTATGTTTATTTCTATATATATTAATGTATGTACTGACAATCATGAGTTCACACTGATACTTCCGATTCTAATCCAGCAACACAGGAGTTACTTTAATTTTCTCTCATTCCATATTTTTAACTCCCTTCTCTGACACGTTGGCCTCTCACCATCTCTAATACATTTACGTACATATTTACTTATCTGATTGATCCCCTTGGCTGTAACCCACCTCCCATTTCTGTCATCATTACCATCTCCACATGGATCCCACCTCGCATGACCAGGGCTCTGATACCCACCCTTTCCTCTCAGTCCTGGTCAGGCTCTGACTCCCACCCCTCACTGGGCCATTCCCCCCAGCACACAGACACCCTCCTCACCCTGACGGGTCTGACTCTGCATCTTCCTGTAGGCTTGCCCTCCTTGCCTCACTCAGTCTCCTCTACCCGACTCAGGTCACTGAGGCCCCATTCAGCCCCACGTGGACATCTACACTGTTCTACCCACTTAACAACCTTAAAAATGATTTGTTCAGAAAAGGAAGGGAACAGGAAAGGAAAAGGAAGAGAAACTAAAGGGTACCTTTGGAAAGCCAAACTTGAAAAATTTAGGAGGAAAATATAAGACACTGTCTTCACCATGTCGGGATAAGAAAAGTTTTCTTTAAAAAATTTTTTAAATCCTCACCCAAGGATATGTTTATTGATTTTAGAGAGAGAGGAAGGAGAGAGAGAGATGTGAGAGAGAAACATCAATGAGTTGCCTCCCTTACGTATGCTGACCGGAGATCAAACCCACAACCTAGGTATGTGTCTTGACTGGGGACAAAATTCGTAAACTTTTGGTCTACGGGCCAATGTCCCAATCAACTGAGCCACCCAGCCAGAGGAAGAAAAGTTTTCTTAAACAATAATGTTGGTTACTCACACTTACTAAGCACCAACTATGTGCCAGGCACTGTTTTGAGCACTTTACATGTTTAATTGCATAGTCCTTACAACTACCTAATTAGCAAGAAATGTGATTATCTCCACTTTACAGACGTGTGAACCGAGGTCCAGAGAAGTTAACTTAAACTAAATTGGACAGTAGATGGTGGAGCTGGGATTTAAACCCATGAAGTCTACTCCATACATAGAGGACAAACACACATGTGCACACACACACGCCCCATAGAGGAAACAAAACGTACTCTAAAATATAAAGACTGACTATAAGCAGGAAGAAGTTTTTTTTTTAAAGATTTTATTTATTTATTTTTAGAGAGGAAAGGGAGGGAGATAGAGAGAGAGAGAGAGAAACATCAATGTGTGGTTGCTGGGGGTTATGGCCTGCAACCCAGGCATGTACCCTGGCTGGGAATCAAACCTGGGACACTTTGGTTCCCAGCCCGTGCTCAATCCACTGAGCTACGCCAGCCAGGGCTTTGGAAGAAGTTATTTTTAATATACATAATGAACAGCCCTGACTGGTATTGCTCAGTGGGTTGAGTGCCATCCCATGAACCAAAAGGCCGCTGGTTCAATTCCCTGTCAGGGCACATGCCTGGATTTCTGGCCAGGTTCTTGGTTGAGGGGCGTAAGAGAGGCAACCAATTGATGCTTCTCTTGCACATCGATGTTTCTTTCCCTCCCTTTCCCCTCTCCAAAAATAAATTAAAGTCTTTATAAAAATATGTTGCGTGGGTCACCGGCCAGCAGTGATCACGGAACGCTGCGGATGGCTCGTTGAAACACGAGAAAAAACATGCACAGAGACAGACTAGTTTCTGTGGAGAAGTAGGGACGGAATGGCCACCCCCTCTAGTGGGGAGCGCACCGATTTACCATCCAAACCTGCTTTTATTGGGCTCATTTTGCACAATAATTCAGGTGAAGTACATTACTCATTACGAGGAAGTAGGGAACAATAGATAACAACGAACTCTGCGGGTCTATTTTGAGTCAGGGTCAAAGAACTGTAAGACTTTGAGGAACAAACTAACTTCCTCCTTGGACCCTTCTCTTTCAACTGAGAGCATTCTTAACAAAGAAGTTTTCATAGTAATTTACATGTTCTTTCTTAGGCCTGATCACCCAGGGAATCCGCCCTTTTCAGCACAGAGCTGCACCACCCTGTCATTGTTTCAGGCTTAGGTGGAGCAAGGGAACTAAGGCAACCAAGAGATAAGGAGATTTTCTCCCAGATGATGAGAACTCAGGCTATTTCAAAAGGGTCCATCACCCCCTTTTGCTGTAGCCCCCAAAATCCTTCTTTTGGGGGCCTCCCACGTGATCGTGCTTGTCTTAGATCATTCCCCCCTTGGGGAATCTTACCCATCTTTGGCTAACCGACCAAGCTTTGGGGTTCAGTTATGAATGAAGCAGCAGAAGCAGCATTCCTGCCAGGGAGATAAGCTTTTGTCTCCTTGCTGCTTTACGGTTCCAAGTGCGTTCCCTTAGCCTTAGCCCAGGCGGGGGTTACAGCTTCTGATACCAGGCAGGGCGGTTCCCAACAAAAATACATATAATGAACAAAGAAGTAGTATTGGATATGAAGAACTTCTGTGATTCAGTGAGATAAGACAACCAAAAGAAAAATGAGCAAAGATATGAATAAGCACTTCACAGAAAAGAAAACTCAACTGGTCATCTCATTAGGTTTCCTCAGTCAAGGAAATGAAAATCCAACAGGATACTTTTTTATACCACCAGGTTGTCAAAAATTAGAAAGTAAAATTATCTTCATTCGTTTGAGCTGCTGTAGCAAAGTACCACAGACTGGGTGGCTTACACATGACAAATGTACTTTTCACAGAACTGAAGGCTGGAGGTAGAGACCAGAATGTCAGCACAGGCAGGTTCTGGTGGGAGCCCTCTTCCCAGTTTCAGACTGATGACTTTTCTTTGTGTCCTCACCTGGTGGAAAAAACGAGCTAGCTCTCTGGCCTCTTCTTTCTTGTGACGGCACTAATCCCATTCATGAGGGCTCCACCCTTATGACCTAACCACCTCCCAAAGGCTTCAGCTCCTAATACCATCACATTGGGGGGCACACAAACATTTAGTCCATAAGAGATACCAAATCAGGCAAGGTCATGGGGCAGTGGGAACGCTCACTGCAGGTGAATGTGTGATAGAGGCCCCCACGACAACTCCCCTGTTCAGAAACTGTCTAGGAAGACTTACAGGATTCAGCATGTAGTTGTTCTCAAGACTAAGATTTATTACAGCAATGCAGAAAGCCTGCACAGACAGATGGTAAGGGAAAAGACATGGGCGGAGTCTCGGCGGATTCACATACGGAGTCCATTCATTCCCCAGCAGTGAAAACACAGCAACATGTATGTGGTGTTTCTGCCTTGGGAAGCCCATTAAAGACTCAGCATCCAAAAATCTTATTATATCGCAAAAGTGCACTCTAACTGTTACAGAACAGACAAGGGGGGCCTGGGACAATATACTATTACTGAAAGAAGGCCCCGGGTCTGTTATGTCCGCCACC